GTTGGCGCATCAAGAAGAGGTTGCTAAGAAGAATCAACCTGGGACTCTCTCATCGTTTGTCACTATAGGACAAAAGGTTCCTTTCGACAATTTGACTTTCAACCAAATGATGTGCGTTTGGATTGTGCGTCAAGCACTTCCATGGTCACGAATGAACAACGCTTGGCTACGATCCGCAGTGCAGTTCCTACGCCCTGAAGCACGTTTGTATGGACGACGATGGGCTGCAGAAGAGGCAAAGAGGTTGAATCTTGCGATGAAGAAGAATGTTTTTGATGAGCTTAGGGTAAGTTTTTCAGTACTTTATTCAAAGAATCGAGTACTGATCTCCATTTGAATATTACCACAGGGCTTGACAAGCAAGTTTTGCCTGCAACAAGACGTGTGGACGACTAAAGGAAACCGCCACGGTTTTATCGGTGGCGCGGTCACCTTTATCGACAAAGACTGGCAATTCAAAACTTGTCACCTTACCCTGAAGCTGGTGGCATGGCAACATAAAGGTAAATGGCTCGCGGAGCCCATGGTTAATGTGTTTGTCAAGAGGGGATTGGTTAGCAAGATAAGTTTTTCATCTTATTTATCTTTTTCCTACGATTTCATCTTCTTCATGATGTCTCTTGATATAAACCCAAATAGAACTGACATGCTCTTTCATTTTGTTTGCTTTATCCACCTCCTTTGCCAGACCACCGATTCCGGTTCTAACAACAACACCATGGCGAGGGAAATGCACGCCCAGTTCCTCGAATCAGACTGTATCGCCGAATACACTTGGGATCCATCCACGATGCACATCTACTGTTTCTGCCACAAGATGGCGCTAATTGTTGGCGCAGGCCTCACAGCACTCGGTCTCAAAACTCCCCTTCCTAGGAAAACGAAGTCGGCCATGCGCGGCCCTGTTCCCGATATAATTGAAGAAGAAGAAGAAGAAGAATCTGAAATCACTGACCTTGGGCCTGTAGTTGAGGTACCAGATGTACCTCAACCACCACTTGTGGATGAATTCGACAGAGAACCTAACCTACAGGAGCTTGCAGAACGAGAAGAAGATGATGTAGAGCCCGATCTAGCCAATTTTGAAGAAGACGAGTGGGACGCCGCCAATACACAAGATGCAGAAGATCCATTTCTTGCTCTTGAAAATGAAGTTCAACCAACTCATCGCAGAGAAGCAAACAAGCTTGATTCTCTTCTCACTAAGGTATTTTTCCAAAGCAATTTGTTATTTCTTCGGTTTGAACCTTCTCAATTGACTTGACTCTGCTGCATAGATTGATTTTATTGTTTGACGGATTACGAGCTCTTCAGCCTGGCGGAAGGAATTTGATCGAGTTAAATGTAGTTTAGGACTCGAGGTTGAATCTTTGATTGCCGCTTACGGTATTCGATGGAACATTAAATATATAAGTCGTCACAAAGCTTGGATGGCTCGTGAGGTAAGCTCCACATTTAATTTTTAATAATTATTGTATTGAATTTGTTTTTCATAATGATATTCAGGCCATCGATCAACTTCTCAAAGATGACTTAGCTCGAGTTCACACCAAAAACCGACGGCCTCGCAAAAATGGTAAGCCATACGGGTATTTTCACGAATTAACTGTTTCACCTTCAGAGTGGGCTCAAGTTAGAAATCTAAATGCCAAGCTTAAAGTAAGTCAAATTAGTTGGTCTGTCTGTTGTGTACCATGAGTATGATTGTCACTAATTAAATTGGGCCTTTCAGCCGTTTCTTGACGTCACTAAACGTATGGAAGGCGATAAGCCCACTGGGTGCATGGTGTTAGCAGAATATGTCGAGATTAAAAAATCTTTGCAGGCACGATCCGAACGACTAGACACTTCAGACACAATGTATCCAATGATAGCAGCAATGTTAGAGAAGACGCAACAAATCTTGGATGAAGCCCTCGGCTGTGAAACCTTGGTCATGGCCTGCCTGCTTCATCCAGCCTTTTGCCTTCGATTCTTTCACACATTCTTTGGCCCGACCTCATCAACATCAATCCAAGCCGAGGCTCTCTTCAATGATCAATTCAAAAAGTATCAAACATCCTTTGCAAGCAAGGATAAAAACTCAGGCGCTCAGGCCAATGATCAATCTGATCTCACAGAAGAACAACAGCCATCAATCTTTGCGCTTTATAACGATATACAAGAAGAAGAAATGGGAGATGATAATCAGGTTAGAGACTACCTGGGTGGTCGCGATCGAATGAAAGCTCCGGAGTATGACTTGGCGGATCCTAACTCTGCGCTAGCTTGGTGGAAGGTATGTAGTTTATTATTTATTCATCTTCCATCATGGCTGACATTAATCCTCATCCTCTCTCTTTAGCTTCATTCCAATCAATACCCGATCATTGCTGCGATGTCGCACGACTATCTTGCCTGCTCTGGTTCTTCGGCTGCACCCGAAAGAATCTTCTCGGCTGCAGCTGATGTCTGTGCTGCCAGTCGAGGAAGCATGGTGTCAATCACCATCGAAAGGGCAGTGTCTACTCTCATTTGGCTTCGTGAGGGAGTATCCCTTGGCACGGAATTCATGAAGTTGATGGAAGCATCAAAGATGCCCGATTATGTGGACTATGTGAAAGCGCACTATATGCCTAAATCTTCTCGTTGAATCAGTCAACTACTTTAGTTATGTTTCCTTTTTTATAACTTCTTGTCTTTCTTTCAATTATATTTTTGTGAACGTTTGTGTGTTTATTTTTTTAAATTCTCATCATTCTTTTAATAAAAGTTTTGTAAACATTTTCTCGACGCTTGCAGCGCTTCAGCAGCGCAGCGGGCGTTTTTACAGCAACGCCCACACTTCCAATACTTTTGAGCAGCGGAGACAAGCTGCGCTGCCAATCCCAGCGCAGCGTGGACCGTTTCGCTGCTCGACTTGAGTTTTGCTAAGAGCGGGAGTCCGCTGCGCAACGCGCTGCCTCTCCTGAAGCGCAGCACAGCGCAGCTGTGCCAGTGTTGCTTGTGACCACCCGCTTTTGCAGTTCAGTCCGGAGGCATCATTGTTTACACAATCCAGACAGTCAGATCTCTCATCACCTCTCATTTAGACATATAGTGGGTGGTCAAGTAAACTTATCCAATCCTATGTACACTGTTCCTGAAGGAAGTTTAGCAGTCAAGTGAGAAATAGACTGAGTCCCTACCTCTTGCTCACAAGAAGGAAGAGTGAAAATTACATCTATTGTCTCCCTTGCATGCTCAATCTTGTTGCCAACTTTGAAGACTCTGCACTGCTCTCAACAACAGTGCCACAACCTGACAGCATGACTTGATTTCTCCACCAACAGAATCACAACCAAACTGATCAAAGTTTGCACAATAGCCTTGATAGTAATGCACCTCAACTGTATCAGTATCCCACAGGGTTTTGCTTTCACCCAGTTACATTGGCAAATCATCAGGCAGCCTATCAGGAAAATGGGATATTCCCAAATCACACTGTGTACCCACCACCCATTGGGACTTATCCAGCCAATTTTTGGTCCCATCAAGGCCCCCTACCACCATTACCTTTTTTGTCTATCCACCCAGAATGGTGGACAACCCTCTGGTTACCGCTTTCAGTCCACCCAGAGGCAGGCTGCAGGCAGTATTAAAAAGACAGTCTGCAGATAGTGGGACCAGAGCCCTTCTGCAGAAGGTTGGTGACTATATTAAGAAAGGCCGGTCTGCAGACAACCTCCATCCCAGTCTGCAAACCGGCCATATCACTCTGTGGTGTAGTGGTTCAAAGTAGAGAAGGTCTTGATGATTATCCAACAGGATCATTTGACAGGAGAACCACGAGCTTAACTTGTTCATGTCTGAATATAGCTTTCATGACCAACAGGCACTCTTGCACTGCTTGAGACCTGTGTCAAAAATGCAAAAAACAAGCCTTATGTTGTCTAATAGATGACCTATGACCACCTAAAATACCTCGATGAAATTTGAAAGCGCCAAATCAGCAATGTTACATCACAAATTTAGAACCCTTCCTTTCTGCATACACCAATGTGCGTGGTACCCAGATATGTACCATTTCATGAAGAATGACCTGCCAGAAGCTTAACAATTTCTACGGTGAGGTGAAGCAGAAAAGTAAAAAACCAACATAAGGGGACTTAATGCTTGGAGCTCACACACCAAAATCACGAGTCCGTTGTAAGCCCCTCTGCGAGGGCGCGGCAAACGCGCTGGTGAGGGGCTTTTAAGCTTAGGAGAACCGCCAGGAAACTTGATGCTGGATCACTTTCCAGCAGCCAAACCGCATATCTGTGCTAACGGTTTTGACTGACGTTCAGATGTTTCAAAATCCATCACGTTTGAATTCCCGGTCAAAGCTCTGGACAACAAATGGCAATGAGAACAAACAAACGCGTGGTGATCCTGTCGTGCTCAGCAAGCCGGCATAGCCTCGAAATGTTGTCTTCGACTACATATTGGTGTAAAAAGCTTGCTGCGTTCGGAATCCGAATGCCATACATACGTTAGTTCCCGCAAGCTCCTCGGATTTTTATCCATGAAACATTTCCGTATCAAAAACTGGGTGTGAAACTCTGCATCATCCTTGAGACTAGTCTCAATGTCCGCAAACTGTTTCGCCAAAAGTTGTACACATCTTTAAGGGCATGTAAGTTGATTACTTGAGCTTGTATCAGATCGAAGAAATCCTGCCTAGACTCCAATAGACCTCTGTCCGTATCAACTTGTCAAGCTCATCCTGCAGGAAACTTCGCCTCCAGAAGTTGATTGCAAAATACGTCAAAAAATCAACATAATCCGTTATACGTAGCCTGCAATCCTCGGTCTTCACTTTCATTGTCAGCGTTCGGCATCCTACACCCCTCAACTTAACTCAAGTATAAGTCTCGCTCGGCATTGCCTTATCGCACTCTTCGAAAATGCGATCACGGGGCTTTCTCTTGGGTCTCTCACTCACATTCCAAAATCCCGTATCTATAGTGAGATCATCAATTTCGCCACCTGACCCGACCATGAGCCAACCGAATCCTCAACATAGTTTATCTAGCCCTTCAACGTGTACAATATACCCTGTCACACTTCAAACTTGGCAGGAATTGAGGATAGATGATTACATTCGAAACTTTCCTGGAGGTCGAGTGATGAAATTAGAAGATTTTACATTCTTGAACAAGGTCACAAACTTCGTCTGCGGTCTTGGGGAAAATTGTTTGGCAGGCCAGGTTCGTGCAAAAACTCTTAGACACGTTAACTGATCTATTAAGTCTCATTCAGTTAAAACTTTTTTTTAGCAATGTAGCCCTTTTCAAGCTCAGCTTTGGTTTACACTCTACGGACTTCAGGAGTGGAATTTATACGTCAATTCCCTTTATGAAGCCATCACGGCGGCTATCACCCAAGTTCGTGGTAAGTGACTTTATAAAGTTGTGGTTTTGAGCAATGTGCCTTTTCTGCGAATTTTTTGATCATGAAAGACCTCGTTTGTAAAAATTGGGAAACACAGAAATTTCCTCAGACATGATCAACGACTTGTAGGTTTTCTTGCATTCACTCTATTTTACAGATTATATGATCTCAAAGTAACATAGTTGAGAGTACCACCAGAGTCTTGACATTCATCTCGCCTATTCTATCTTCACAACACAGCTTGGTCGACCCGGATGAGTCACACGAAAAAACGATTCATCTAGCAATTACGCTTACAGCAGTCGCAGCCACTGCATTGCTCGGGTTTATAATCGGATTTGCCGGAACATGGATAGCTCCTGCTATGGGAGTCGCTGTCGAAACTACAGAGGCTTCTGGTGGAGTGGCTGCATTCGGAGCTGCTGGTATCGTCAAGAGATCTTTAGCAAAGCGGTCATATGAGCCAGTCGACGGGGACACCATCTTTGCAAATGTATCACCAGATGAAATAAAGAAGAGTGATGATGACCTAGCAAGCAATATGAACCGCTTAAGTCAGCTTCAGACATCGATTGATCAAAAATTTCGACTACGTATGATGGGCACTCAAGATATTGCTAGTGACTTCACAACGACGAGTGAGTCGAGTGAGCAAGAAGAAATTATCTCGATGCAAAAGACCATTCGGGATAGCATCATGAAGGAATCAGCATGGGCAAGTTGGATGACACAACTGTTAAAAGACCAAGATCAGCATGAAAGTATAACCACAAAGCTTGAACTACCTAGGGCTCAAACTACTCAAGAGGAGCTGTCGTTTACAACGAGTCATTTGAAGCGACGCTCAGCACCTCAATCGATCCCACGAAATCACTTTGGCACGGTAAGTTGTTTTATTACGGCCGTTGAGTCGTCCAGATCAGAACTTTGACGCTGAGACAGAAAATGCAAATTTGTCTACTACCATTCCCATCTCTTTTCAAACCCCCAAAAACTCCTAGTGGACGACCATCAATACTTATCTGAATAGTTTCAGAGACCATCTGCGAGCGGTAATTGCTGTCTCATCGCAAATTGGAATCAGCTCTCCAATCTCATCGGATGAAGGAATTTGGGGAATTTTAAAGAGCGGGAAATTCATGACGCCTAATCCAACCAAGGCTCTTTTACAGGATCAAACTCGCGAAACGGTAAAGTTAAGTGCACTTGCACAAGTACTGAAATCTATGGCGAGTATTCTTATCACTTTCTCATCTCGTATACCTCAACTTTACCCGACGATTTTTCTGATTACTTTTGTCCCCTTTTCATACCACCAGAACGTTTTTGTTACCATTGGAAGTGTATGTCATATTGATTTGAATCTTGACCTCCGAGAAAGGTACTCGATGTGTATCTTCATGAGGAGCCAGCTGATCATTATTCTCTACGGTAATGGTACATATATGTTTGTTTGTATAGGATAAATGCGATGGTCGCGGTCCTGGTGGTGCTTGGTTCGGTGACGAATATCTTTCGTATTGTAGTCCCGAAGGACTGTACGTCAAATTCTCCACTCATCAGCCATTTTCGCAAAATTGCTGAGCAGTGGAATCAGAGAAGAATTGACGATACAAATTTTTACCAAAATTGATGTAGTATGATGAATTTGGTTAGAGGTCAAGGAAAAAAGACGGTCAACAAGATTCTGAACGCACATCTGATCGAAGCAAAATACGGTTACTCTGTAGAATTCTTGGCTCAATCTGCTTGGGCATGCCAAGACAGAAATCTGAAAATTGATGGAAGACCAAGTCCTGAGTACGTCCAGTCTTGAAATTAGACGTATCATTTTTGGTTCTCTAATCCGTTTTTGTGTGATTGTCAAAAAAACAGAGGATTGAAGCCAGACAGTAAAATCGGTTGCACTTTTGATCTTCCAGTCTGTGATACAAGGCTTGAAGGTTTGTCACGAGTTTTGCAGAGTTTTACTTGATTCCCTGTTCTGATCAAATCTATCTTTCACATCACATTTTCACTTGTTCGTCACAAAGAGGTGGCTCACTTAAGACGCGCAGGAGAAACCACGGTGGTGGCGTGTAGAAAAGGATTGGCGTTGAATATCTAAATTCTCTACCGGCACTTTCATCTTTAACATTGACTTTGTTTTAAGTTTTGCTGATCGCTCTTTTCATCAACAAAAAATAAGCTCACAGTGCCATCAGTATCTTTGGCTGATGACATAAAACATGGCAACTTGCAAAGCACTTAATTTCATCTTCGAATTCTACTGCTTTACAATACTAGTATTCTCAAGAGCAGACCTATTGTCCCTTTACTTTGTTGCTTTCTGGACATGCTGGTAGAGTCAAACTCGTCTTTCCATTGGAAAACTTCAACTATATTACACCTCTAGATTTAAACCAATTTCATTCCATAACTCACTTAGTTTGAAGTACACACATGACTCCCATCAACTGGGAAAAGGACTGCTTTGTAAGACAATTCTCATTGATCACCTGAGGCTCTTAGTACCCTCTCCCCAAAACACATGAGAAATATGTTCTCTGCATCTGACCAACTGAGTCTATTTTGACAAGCAAGTCTCAGCAAGAGGATCCCCTATAGTGTATCCACAAAATGGGTGTGTGAGCAAGAAAATTTTGGCTGAAGAGATTTTGACCACCAATATCTCATCATTTTGCCAACATATAGCCTTTTGGGCCAATGAAAGCCACAAACTGCTGCTTACCCTGCATACAATCTTCTAGCTCACTTTATTATCTCTGTATCCCTGCAGAGCTCTGAGGACCTAAAAATTGCAAAAACTCACTGTCTCTGACTAAGCTGTTCTTAATATCTGTAAAAGGCTTCCAGCTGGTGGGCAGGAATGTGACAGAAAAGAAGCTTTTTTTTCAGTTATCTTGATGGCACTTGGTGGCAGCAACACCTAAACCAATTCAACATGATAAAACATATCTGACCTTTTTATGTCATATTGGGACACCAATATATCTCAACCAACTTGCAATACAATGTGGAGAAATATTTTTTTGGCCCATATTGCATTGCTCAAGTGATACAAGCCAACACAATATGGTCAAAGCAGCAGAAACTTATGATTCAGCATTTTCAGTGGAATGAATTGTGTTGCCCATAGCCAATTTGGAAAAAAACTCAGTCCTCATATTGGATTATTAGCTGAACCAATATGGGAAAATCAGACTTTTGATCTCAGATTGGCAATACAATACCAATACATTACCAACATTTGTGTTGGATTGGCTCAGGCGTTGGAGACAGTTTCACCTAAATAAGACCCCCACAATAATTGCAATTCTCAATCTAGTAAATCAAAAAAAAAGATAAAATTCTTGCATATAGAAATTGATTTCAAAACCATAAATAGACAAACCATTCAATCAATATACACCTTTGCAGTCATAAATGATACATCACATAAATTCAATTTTCATATCTATGTTGTTTGTATCAATCAATCAATTAATCAATTAAAGAATCAAATCATAAAGCAGAGCAAAGAAAAAAAAACTAAAAAAAAGCTTGTATAGATTAGTAATTCCTATCTCTTTAAATATCTTCCTAATCTTTTATTTGTTCAATTAAGGCTCAGAATTTATTCTTGTTTAAATTAAATAAGATATAAATATCTTCTTCAAAATCTCACTTTATAGTATTTCAAACTCAAAAATCCAACTACTTCCATCACATCCTATCTACCAATACAAATTCCCTCAAGTTTTCAAATCAAGCTCTCCTGTTGTTCTCTACCAACACTCTCAGTCCCAAACTGATGGGCACTTCCAAACCCCGAAAACCCCTGAGTTCCAGTGCCAGTACCACTACTAGGAGTAGTACTGTTTCCAACCATAGAAGCTCTAAATGGGTTAGGTCCATTTAAACTTTGAGCCAGTTCAGTTCCAAAACTAGAAGAAGGTTGAAACGGTTTGATCGTCGATCCGCCAAATCCAGTAGGTTGACTAACGATAGGCGCTTGAGTATTGAAATTAGAAGGAGTAGATGAGTTCGAATAAGGTTGAAATGGTTTGATGGTTGATCCTCCAAAGCCTGTTGGTTGACTACTAAGTGATGGAAAACCTTGTGGGGTTGAAAATCCAGTAGGCTGACTACCAATTGATTGAAATCCTTGTGTGTTTGGAACCCCAGTAGGTTGACTACTTAATGGTTCAGTTTGGAAACCGATTAATGAACCTTCATCTGTTACTTTAGGCTTTGTAACAGCAAATTCAGATGCGACAGATGCAAATAAACCTCCTGTACCTTGTTGATCTATTCTTTTTCCACCTCCTTCAAGCCTTGAAAGTTGCGATGAAAAGAAATTTGTGAATTGAGCTTTTTGTTCAGCAGCTCTTTGTTGTTCTTGTAGAACAGTAGGATCCGGTGTAGATGAGCTTTTCGGGGTGCCTTGAGCTTGTTTGGCGTTTTGTTGCTGTTGTTGAAGCGCATGGGCTTGTTCACGAGCACGTTGTTGGACCATTGATTGAGAGAAAGCAGAAGCGGCAAGAGCATCGAGAGAGAGGTTATCCGGTAGTTTGGGTACAGCTGGCATCGAGTTTGGAGCAGGTGCGAAGGGATTTCGTGAACCAGTGGCCTGTGGTTTTAGTGCGGTTTGTACAGGTTGGTTACTTGACGAACCGAATGGGCTTGAAGAGTCAAATGTGTTGGGCTGTTGGTTTGACTGAACAGGAGGCGCTGACATGGCACCATTGTTGCGATCGGGCATACCGTTCTGCATGTGTGATGATTGCCAGGTATCAAGCATAGAATGTGTGGTAGAAGAGTTGGTGAACTGCTGAGACTGCATAAAAGGATTATAACCCGTGGGTTGAGGCGCCATTGGTCCGAATGGAAGATTATTCGGAGCAATCATACTTTGTCGAAACGGATTGGCACCTGTCATTTGAGGCTGTAGTGCATTCATCTGACCGGATGGAGGAAACCCGGTAGGTTGTGTTTGAACAAATTGGGGAGCATTTGGTCCGTTTAGGGTGCCGAACAAGGCATGACCAATAGATGCCCGCCCATAGCCTGTAGGCTGAGGGTTCATAAAGTTCACCTGTTGAGAAGCAAAGCCGGTGGGTTGACTCTGTATGGGGAAAGCATTGGATTGTTGCTGGAATGGATGAGCGGACGGCTGTTGCAGAGAATAAGTTCCATTGGGTGACATCTGATCTGAGTTGAACATCGATGACTGCTGAGATTCGATGGACTCGAAGAAATCAGTGAAGGTTTTTTGAGCTTCAGATGCTATGGGCGGTGGTGGGGGATTGGGTGCTGGGGCAGTTTGTTTTGTGGCCGTGGGTTCTTAAATGCAATCAAAGGTCAGGAGAACCCTTGTTCATTATGGGTAACCAAGCAATACTTACTAGGCGTGTTGGTTTTGTCTGGTGGTTTGCCATCCGCTATCCGCTTACTTTCTTTGTATTCGGCTCGGTTCGTTTCAAAGTTAGGATCGTTTAGGTACTCCTCGAGTGAACCAGCAAGAGAAACGGGGGCGTGCCGAAGGTTGGGTATATTGACGTTGATGATGTTTTGAAGCTTTTTAGCCACACCAAGATAAGCCACGACCTTTTCGCACTGTTTACAGAAAATCTTATACGTTTTCAATGCGGTAGTGGCGTCTACATGTGACATCTCGAAGTAATGCTCTAGTAAAAAGTACGGGCAAGGAAAGAAGGTATAGAAAGGAACATGAGAGACAACTCGAAGAATGTGACAGGCATTGAGTGGCCAAGTCGTTATGGTTTGTCTAACAGCACCGGAGATTGACTCGATGATTGGGCGGTCTTGAGCTCACCCAATACATTGATCACACCCTCATTCACCGCTTGGAAAAGTACAAGGAGGTCTTTGACGAGTAATCGCAATGCCGACATGACGAGGTCGTCATCCGTATCTTCGAGATAGAACTGTTTTTCGCAGACAAAGCTAGACATATGTCAAAATCGGCTACCTGAGTGAGGTTTCTGATTGCAAATCATAGCAAATCTGCCGCAATAGTCTGGAATGAAATATCAAATAAGCTTCTACTGACCTTGCAATCAACCAGTGCGTCCATCAATTTTTGCAATGTGCCCACCTCTCTCAAAAGGCCTTTCTCAACAGTCAAAGTTCGAAGCCGATTGGCACCATTCCGAGATGAATTACGAAGTGAGGCCGGCGCTTCAGATCGAGTACGTATCGGATCATGTTTGAGAGCAGCGAAGCATTTAAAGCGAGCCAGGAGGTAGTTTGCATATCGAGCCAAGTTTTGAGGAGTATCGTTGGTAGTGCTCACAACATTGAGACCGAGAGATCGACCGTCACGGCCATCGACACCAGACCAATAGGTCATGACTTCTTCCGAATTCCCAGAACGGATGAGCGTATGAATCACCAAAAGAGCCTTGAAGACGATCGAAGAGTTTGGATCCCTAAGTTTCGATCGCAGAGCCCGAGAAACGTCTTGAAAAGAGCCATCTGATTGATAGGTGCAGGAGATAAGAGCATCGATATATTTGGGCTTTAGAGGTGCATGTTTAGGTTTACATGCACCAGAGACTACTTTTTGCCAATGACCCGACATTTAAGAGTGAGTTTAGACTAGGTGAAAGTGAGTCTGAAGCTGGTGAGAATGAAAAGTTGAAGTTGAATTCGGATCGAGAAGTCTGAAGGCAGAAATCGGAAGCTGACGTCAAAGTCATGAGAATCAAAAGAGTACAAAACCCCCCAACCAAAGTTACAAACAGGTGTAAGTACTTATACAGATACACACATTGGCCTTTGTTGCTCATTTCCATCCAAACACAAAGGATTGGGTTTATTTACTCCCATGACTTTTGATTTGAACCAGAACCCGATCTGGCTCATAATTGAGCTTTACCACAAGAAAATTGGGTCCCATTTGATATCTCATACAAACCACTTTGTTTTGAACTGGTGAGTATGCCTGACATAGGTTTGGAGGCTTGACCACTTTTGAGCATACACAGCAAAAAACAAAGCAATGAGGTACAATGCTTTCTTTTGAACAGAAGAAACCCAAAGAAGGACCAATAGTATTCATATCTAGAGAATTAACAGATACTGAAACCAGGTACTCATCACCTATACTAGAAGCCACAGCACAAGTAGTCATTAATGATGTCACAGGTGTAAGATCTGTGACAAATTTGAAATCACCAAGTAGACACATGCAAAGGTGGATGATGGCAATACAAGAATATAAACCTTTCATGACCATTACACACAGACCAAGAAAATCTCATAATAATGCAGATGGACTCAGTCAAATGGCACTCACAAACGATTCTAACAATCCAGCATGGTAAACTGAAGAAATGGAAAGAGACATTCCTGTCATGGGAATAAGTTTATGTGAATTATCAGAAGACTTTTTTGAAGAAGTACAGCCATTCCAATATTGCTTGTCGCGCCTTTTTTGAAAAGAAAAAGTTTGTAAGCTTGAAACCTACAGCCAATTCAGAATTGGTTGGCCCGGCAATTTTTTATTTTATTTTATTTTTGTGATACAGTGCCAATACAGCGTGAGATATAAGCATTTTTCTTCAATTGAGATATGGAGATTTAGGGGAAAAAAAGTAGAATCCCGGGCACGTGCCCCGGATTTCTACTTTGTATCCCCTAATTGAAACCCTTTGACCACTTGGGCTGTTGACCACCCAATATCTACCACCCACCATCATTGTCATCCTCCATCCACCATCCCTCTTCTTCAACATTATTCTTTCCCCTCATATCTCAAGACTCATCATGCATTTTGTGCTGTACACAGCACAACTCAAGGTGATTGCCCTTGCCGAGTTTCTGTCAGGCCAATCCCTCAAATCCATCAACAAAGACCTCATTGCTTCAATCTCAGCCAAATCAATCTCACGATGGAATGCTCTTTATTGTGAAACTCACACAGTGGTTTGTGATCCTAGAACCTACCATCAACAAGGCCGTTGGACTTTATACTCAAACAAGGATCAAGCATTCATGGTTGAACTCATTGATGCTGATCCAACGCTGTCTCTTGATGAAGCGCAAGAAGTGATGTACAACCACACCAATCTCATTGCCTGTTGACAAACCATTGCAAATGACCTTAAAGAACGTCTTTACCTTACCCTTCACAAGGAGTCTGCAATTGATATCAATCAATCACCAACACTTCAAGCAGAATATTCCAATTGGATCTGTCATCACCCACCTGAGCTCCTGGTTTTTCTTGGTGAGTATTTTCCACTTGTCTCTCTTTCTCCTCCTTGAAAAAGATTATGAAACTAATGTTGATATGATTTGTCTTGTCCTTCACCTAGACAAATGTGGTTTACAAACACAGGATGTGCAACACAAATATGTTGATCCAAACAAGGCGCGCGTTGTGGTGGTCTATTTATGGGATCAATCAAGAAAATTAATCATCATAACTTTATCAAATTATTAGGAAACTTCAGTATAGCAGAAAATTCAAAATGCTGGTTTTCAGATCAATTGAAGCTCTTAGAGGCTTATGTATACTTATTAATTCAATATAATGCCATCTTATTTCAAATGTATTCTTAAGATCATTATAGTTTACTCACAAAGTTATTATAAAAAGACAGGAAAAGAAAAGATAAGAAAAATTCGAAAATATAGGTGTAAAAGTTGGAAAATGGTTTTTAGGGTATTAATAATTAAGTTATGGGTTTATTAGGGTTATAATATGAAAGAACAACATTTTATTATACAGCAACCATCTTAATCTTGGAGTTTGATAAGGAAAAACAGAAGTTATTAGCAGAAAGGTACTTTTTTGAGGATGGTAAACAAGGGTTATACGTGTAGTTTACATATGTAATGGTGGTAGTAGTGGAAATTAGGGTTGCCAAGAGGATTTTCCGGGATTCTTAAGGTTGTAGAAGATGATTTCATATTACGAGCAAGGAAAAGAGAGTAGCAGCTGTGAAAAGTGAAGAAAATGGGTGAATTGCGTCAAAAATGAAGGGTTTCAGCTAATTACATATGTCAAATGACATCAGATTAGGTTGGTAGATAGCTCATTCAACGCAGACAAGTGTATTACATAATGTACAAGCTTTAAATAATTAGTAACGGAGGTTTATGTAAAACGTTATAAGGGAAATAAGAAATTGGTGTGAATCTTGAATTTACAGTCACAAGTCAACATGTAACACCAAAAACCTTAACTTCACAGCTCAATATCTTACTCATCACTCATCAGAAATAGATCATATGGGTGTCATAAATGATCAGTATCACGAGGGCTACAAGATGCACTATAGTAGATCAAAATTGGACCACATCTGAAAAACTTTGTAATCTCAAAAATTGGTTTGCGGCTAGTTTACAAGGAAAAAATCACCTGTATTCATCTTAAGAAGTGCTGTACATTAAATCATTGTGTCATTGATCACTTTTGGCTGTGAAAATTACATCATACATTAGTAACAAGATCATTACATTGCGTCATTACATGGTTTTTAGGGTTATTTAGGCGGATTTGACTGGTTTTTGAGGCTGTTGACTGTTGTAGAGGTTGTTACATGTGGATATAAGTACTCTTTGATGATTTTGGGATTGTTGTTCCCCTTTCTGCATCTTATACCTTTGTTGTAGTGTTATAAATCATCATTTATTCACTATATTTGTACTAAGATCACTTAAATCCGCCCCTTCAAAGCAAGGAGAAATTTATTTACGCGTGTTAAAGACTATAAGTCAATTTGGGAATAATACTTAACAACAGTATTGCTAGTAATAACATAGTGTGTGGACTTTTTGCGCTTAAAATCTGGGAACAATACTACACAACAGTATTGCTTTATTTCTCTGGTGCCTTTATCTTTTTCTCTGTTATCACAAAGTGGTCAGCAAGTGCCCTTGTGCTGGTTTCTTTGAAGAAGGCAGTCTTTAGGCAACTTCTACTATATTACACGTAGTAGATTATCCCTTCTTAGGTGTTGTAAAGCTCTTGTTGAGCTTTAAATTCTACAGCGTCCGAAACCCTTGAGACATAACCGGGCCGGACATCACTACAGCATGCTGGCTGCCATCTCCAAATCTGGTTTACTAGCCGTCAACAGTAGAATTAACGGTTATTGCCAAGATGACTTTGAAGCCTTTTTAAAGCACATTTTGGTGAGTTTGGTCTTTTGCTTCAAGATCTCATCAACTGTACAAAGCTGACCTTCATTGAATAGCTTCCTGTGATGCAACCCTACCCCAGTCGCAATTCAGTCTTAGTAATGGACAACGCTCCAATACATCGCCGTGGAGCCATCAAAAGCTTGTGTGACCGTGCAGGGATACTTCTAGTCTACCTACCACCATACTTGCCTGCCTTCAACCCAATTGAGTGAGTTTTCAAAGTTTTCAAGGACACTTTGGAACAAGTGTGGAATTTAGTTGATTCATGTAGAGGTAATTACTGCATGTGACCAATTTAACAACCACAAACATGTGCAGATGCTCTTAACATTTTGGACCACTACTTGCCCCTCAGGGGCTTTATAGATTTTGTGTACATTTACAAGGTCCCAGTGTGTGAACCATTAATTCAAAGTCAAGGATACATAGATGTGACAGTCAGTGGCCATTTGCTTTTGTGGTGCTACCAAGAGAGTTTGGTTTACATGTGAGTGTTTTAACAGAACATGTGGGGGGAATGCTAACTGAACAAAGTAGAGGGACTTATGACTTGTCCACCAAATTTGGTGTGTGCGCAAGAAACGTTTGGCTGGGGAGTTTTGCAACCCGCCATGACTTCATACCCTACAAAGAAAACACCTTTGGAACAAAGAAAGGACATGTGTGCTTGCTCAACCTAAAAATACTGGCTCTTTGGAAGCTCTCTCTTGGTCTCAGGAAAGCACTACAGAAAGACTTGAAAAATGGGTTTACATGTAACATTTCAGCCTGTCTGGTGTGAGCATTTGACAGGTTGGACAGCTTTCTTAGAGATCTTTGGGGTTTTGCAAACTTCAGCTTTCCATTGCTCTGCAATCATTGCATGAAATACACAGTTAGATACATCAATGTAAGCAGGTTGAGTGCATAAGACCTTTCTTTGGTCTAAAGGTGTCTTATTTAAATAGAGTAAGAAGTTATGGCACATTGAAAAACTCCCCAGCCAAAAGTTTCTGGCTCACCCCCAATTTGGTGGATGAGGCCAAGTTCCTCTCTTGCAGGCTTACTTGCCGAGAGCAACTTGGTTAGGTTAGGGGAGGACCTTGGAATGCGCCCATGGATGTATCTGACCAAAATCGTTTTGAGCACTACACCACAAAAAGATGTGCATCATCTGGAGCTTTCCAACAAGCCTGGTCTCAGCTCAGCTACTTGACTCATTGTGGTGCAAAATGCAAAGGCACAAAAACAATTTTGACCCTCAAGACCAAAATAGGACTTTGATATTTCAGGTGTTGCATTGAATTATCTCAGCAACCAGTGGTGCCACAGGATTGAAAGTAGGTGCATTCAAAAACCCTTCACTACAAGAAATATAATATTTTCTGGGCAGAAAATTAAATTATTGATACACAAAAATATTGAGAGGCCAGGCAAAGGGCAAAAAATAAATAAAAATATGCATCTTGTTCCCTGCGTTGAGAACTTCACTCTCCATATTTTTCCGTATTTTTACAGTCCATATTGATAAGTGTACTAACAATAAACCTTCATTATCATCCAATTACAACCTGTAACAAGCACTGAAATTTGGCTCATTAGTGTTTAGAGCTTTTGATTTCTGAGAAAACTCATAACTTTTTCAATTCCGGGCCAAAACGCTCGATTTTGAGTGCATTGGCAAGCTGGAATGGTCCTCCAAATAGTTCATAATAAGACCACACAGCATGCTGGTCTGCTAAAAAAGATATCATCTTTTTTATACATTTGCACATACAGATCCATAGAATGTTTGTCATACTAGCTACATAGTTATTGATATTATGAAAGTTTGAGAACGGGAGTTCAGCTTTCTAATGCACCTGAAATCAAGTGTTTTGAGGCAGATTTGACAAAGTTATGGGTGTTTTCAGAATTCAAAAGTTTCTCTAAACACTAATCAGCCAAATTTCAGTGCTTGTTACAGGTTGTAATTGGATGATTATCAAGGTTTATTGTTAGTACACTTATCAATATGGACTGTAAAAATACGGAGAAATATGGAGAGTGAAGCTCTCAATGCAGGGAACAAGATGCATATTTTTATTTATTTTTTGCCCTTCTCCTGGCCTCTCAATATTTTTGTATATCAATAATTTAATTTTCTGCCCAGAAAATATTATATTTCTTGTAGTGCTTACACCACGGGGTAAGTGTGACGTGGCACAAACTGGGAGAGAGTTGTTTTCGAAACGGTCTCGTTTTCCATTCAAAACAAACGGCCTCAGAGAGGTTCCCAGATGGGACCAGAAAAAACTCGTTCCCTGAACGTATCAGTCACGGGAAACCAGGCTGTATTGGACCTATCAATCAAAGCTCAGTCAGGCAAAGATTGAGGAGGATGAACTGCTTGCATCCTGATGGGATGCTTGCACTTGGCTGAGCATATGATCTCACCTAGGTCTTCCTCACACTTCATACCATCTTTGACCCCATTTTTGGGTCTTTTTGAAGCCAGAAAAAAAGGTGAAAGAGACCAATTTTCCCACAATTAACGTACAGCCCTTTGCATAATTGATGACTTTGAAGAAAAAAAAACCTCGAGTTTTCAAATAAAAACCTCGAGTTTTTTTTCAAAAAGTGACTGAGTTTCGTCAAAAAGCTGCTGAGTTTTTCAAAAAGTCAGTGAGTTTTTTTGGAAACCTGGCTCAGTGATTCTAAAAGAGAAAGAGCTCGCTCAGTTTGTGAAAAACTCGATGAGTTTTTGAACAAAACTCGCAGGTTTTTTTGAAAACTCAAACGTTTCCTCTTTTTCCAAAGTCATCAATTCTGCAAGGGGCTGTACGTTGCGTGACTGAGACCATCATGTCTGCGGTCTCCGCAACGTCTCATCTGGGAACCTCTCCAGCACCGTACGAGGCCGACGACATTTACCCCCTGGTGTAGCAGGGCGAGTCTTTTGAGCTCCTGTACTTGTCAAACAAGAACAAATGTAGTATGGTACTTCTATGACCCAAAAACCTCATTAAAAATTTGGTCAGACACATCTATAAGCGCATTCCAGGGTTCTGTTTAGGGCTGAATGATTGATCCGAATGAATCGCAAATGCTGGCTTCGGATCATTCACGGCACGGAAGCAAACGGAAGCCAATGATTATTGATAAGTATGTATTGATACTGTCATATTCAAAAAGCTTGTCCAAGTTTTCCCGCGAGAGTCGAGCAATTTGGCTTAGCGGCAAGCTTTGTAAACTCGACAGTATGTAATTCCTGATATACAATTCACTTCGCGGTTCTGTTCACTTGGTTCACTCGATAAAAGTTCGCAGAATTGTCAAATCCGCACTCCCGCATGTCGAGTTCTATTTTCGCCTTGACCAAATTCCCTCTCCTCCTAATTTGATCGTCTTCATCCTTTGATTCCCTTTAGATCCTTCCTTGTGCCAGCGCAACTGCTTATGACTCGACCACAGCTGCCTTTCGAGCCCTTTCATCCGAAGCAAATTCCAGCAGGTAGGAGCACCCAAGCCTGAAAGACTGAGCGCTGGGAGAATCAGCAGATGTCGGACCCGCGCAAAGAAACGTTTCTCCTTCATTTACTCGAAGTGACACCGCCCGGTCGCAATCCTTTCATCGATGGCGTCCACGCATTGGCACAACACAGCTTTCCCCACGTACCAGCTTATTCTTATCGTGTCTTGATCTTTTTCATGGTGGTGTACGGTGCTATCACTCTCGGTGCTCTGTTCTTGATCCTGTTCCCTCTCTTGAAGGGTCCCGAAATGAGAAAAAAACACCTTTGGCTTTGGAATAAATGTTATATTGGCAGCCCAGGTGAGAATTTCGACCGAGTTTCCTTTGCATTCATCGGACAGTTTGCACATCCTCTGACTCCTTCTGATTTCCCTCCATCGGATATTCATTCATGGCTACAGACACTACTCCGTTCTATGTGCCCAATAATAGTCTCAGTGTAGCTGTGTGTCAATTCTTGACAAGTGTACTCTTCCTAGTCTACCTTGTACTTCACTATACATCATTTCGTTCATTGGAATTTGCGAGAGCGTCTCACATCGTAATCTGGTAAATACGCAAAATCTTACCTTGTCCAACCATGGTGTGTCAGTGTTGAGATCGCCTGAGCTAATCTTTTGATGGTCAACGCGCAGGTTGGACTTAGCGCTGCTTCCAGGTAAGTACTTGTAATGATTGTCACCCCTTGGAATCATCACAGAGTCTCATAGGGGTTGGGTTTCAGGTTTTATCGGATTTTGGATCACGGGGGTGAACAGCTTGTACACTTGGTGAGCCGCCGTCGTGTTTTTTCTGCGAAAGTATGTGGATTGCATGGACTGATTTGATTATGTCTTTCCCCTGCCTTTCAATCTCGTACATAGTCTCTGTTCGCCGTATCGAGATTTTGAAGAACCAAAAAAGTTCATGCGGTGGCTTAAATTCTTCACTTCGCCCTCGGTCCTTAACGTCTTTTGCATCCTTGTACCACTTCTCGTCACTCTGAAGACAGTCTACTGGACTGTTGCCCAAAGCGTGGCTACAGAGCGCGTCTGGACCCACCATGACATCGTGGCCAACCTCTTTCATCAAGCTGCAAAAGAGTGGTCACCTAACGTTGCTGTTGACCCGAGTTCAGAAGCCATGCAAGAATTAGAACGAGTAGTGAAACGTCATATCACCCTCCTGCGTGTGATCGGAAGAAATGTGCGACTGGCAAGCATTCAGTGGAACGTCTGCATCTTTGTTCTTTCAGCAGTCAGTTTTCCTATCTTGATACCCTTGCTTGGACAGCTCGGCTTACAACGTGATCAATAATGTAATTATCTCAAAGTTCTACTTTTTAACCACAGGTGCCTTGATTCTATTAGTCAGACGTTCTTTGAAGATCGCTTCGGGGAAGCTCAGCGTTTTAAAAGGGGAAAGACCACCAGAAACGGCACACTCTAGACCAGAATCCGAAACAAAATCTGATATTGATTCGGACATCATGGTCGACCAAGGAAGCACGGCTGCCGCTCACTTGCGAAGGGGATACAGTAAGCTGCTTCCTTCTGTCATTCACATGGCTCTTCGCCTCAAGCCCCATTGAGCAGGGGGGCACTATGACTCACGTTGATCTTCGTGAACCAACAGTGCACCTCACCATTCAATGTCTCTTTCTCAGCCTCTGTTTGTTGTTTGACCTATCGACGAGCGTGTTTTTCACTACACATGTCGGTCTCATCATGAAGAGGTAAATTTGCGTATTTCTGAGGCCTCGAGTTGATTTGTGCATCTGATTTCTGATGGCTTTCTATCATTTGAACCTGTCATCAGCGGCGAGGTACGTGCATCAACAGTATGGGTCAGCCGAATAGGCAGCGTTTTCATGGCGGTAGCGATGTTGCTGCGAAGTGTAAGAGTTTGGCTTTCTAAATACTGAGATTTTATCGACAGTAGCCTGACACCCATCTTTGGATGGGTCAATTTAGTGGCGAATATACAACACCAAGGATTTGCATCAGCAATCTCAAGAGTACACAATGATGTGCATGTCCCCACAAGAGCCAGCGAAGCAATCTGACCGATTTGGTGCCACACTGCGGAATTGCCCAACAACTGACGCGAGCTCGGAAAGCGCCGAACGATATTGTGAACCTAGCCTAGAAATCAGCCATGTCGCCAGACAACGATGGATCGATGACGATGTGAATGAGAGGATAGAGTCGGGTCACGAGGGGACCTCCTGGGCAACATCACACCCAACTCCTTCCGGTGAATCAATTCAGTGTCACCGAAAAGAGTCGATAAATATGCGATGAAGATGACATCAAGGCTTACTCATATATTCGACTTTCTTTGACATAATAAATGAATGCCTCTGAGAGAAATTCGTCGAGTCTGTATATCCTCGTCATAATCCCTCAACCTACTGAAACATGTAATAAAATTGTAAGTATTATTGCCAAAAGTAAAACCGCATCTTGTCTAGTTGCCTTTTTAAATACATCTTCATACCTTGATTCAACTATCTCCGTGTCTTTGTTCAGATCTTCATAAAATCGTCAACCATCTTTATTTCCTCGCTCACCTATCTCTATAATTTCATCCAATTATCTTTATTTCCTCGCTCACCTATCTCTAAGTTTTCATCCAATTATTTTTATATTTTGGTTTGGTCATCCCTCTGCTCTCATTCAACATTAATTATGTTTTGTTGTACTCATCTCAGTTTATTGATTTTCTGGTTGGATTTTTTATTGCGTTGATATCCACATAATTGCAATTTCACGTATAGCAACTTCTTCATCTGGATTTGTTGATCAATTGCTGTCAAAAATTCAGAATGCTCTTAATTTTCGCATCCCTCATGATGAGGTTTGGAAAGAAAAGGCCTCCGTTATGAAGTGATTTCCAAGTCGCTCTTTGGAAAACATCTAAGACGCCTCTGTGTTACGAAAACACCGACTGCTAGACACATAGGGTCACTTGTAACCTTTTTCGTCATCCCTTCTTTGAACATGTTCTCAGCATGTGCAATATTATACCATCATCGTCAGTTTCACCTTTATTCTATCTGTTTGCTTCACGTTTGGTATGCATACTGACTGGTTCTGCACTTCCGTTGTCGGTTTTGGCAGTAAAAAGGATCAAGTTAGGGATTCTTTTGTATGCGTTAACACAGGTTATGCGGCTGCGCGGATATGCAATTCCGCGGGGTTGACTCTAGAATACATGTTTTTGGTAATCATGAAAGTAAGAAGCATTCGAAGACCAGCATAACTTCTAAACACTCACACAATTGTCAAGAGTTAGATAACTTCAAATTGAGTTTTTCTTCTGGCGCGTTGATGTAAGCGCTTGTAATAAGGGTTTTTGCCTGGCGTTAAATTACTTTCAAGAATACACGGGGACATGAGGACGAAGAGGGATAATGATTGATCCGAATGAATTGCAATCTCTGGCTTGTAAGTTTGGATCATTCTAAATTTTACGGCAATTGCACATGTAAATACATACTAGTTCAAGTCATTCTAGAAATTCTAGAAATATGCGGCGCTTCTTCCGCTCTGGGTGGGAAGTTGATTTTCAGCTTTATGAAGTTCTTTCTCTTGTCGTCTTCTTAGGTTGAATTCCTGCGCTTATGTTTATGGAGCCTTTGAACCAGAAGTAAATCAGATCAGATATTTCTCAGAAACAACCAAGCCTGAAAGACTGCGCTGGGGGATTAAGGCGATGGAGAACTCGGATCAACAGGCACTCGTCTCTCGTTTACTGGCCGCCGCACCACCTGGTCAAAATCCTTTCGTAAATGGCATCCAGGCATTAGGGGAAGGCAGCTTTCCCGTCGTACCGACGTATTCCTATCACATCCTCATCTTTTTCATGGTGGTATACGGTGCCATCGCTCTCGGGGCTTTGTTCTTGATCCTATTTCCTTTGTTGAAAGGTCCTGAAATGAGGAAGAAACATCTTTGGCTTTGGAATAAATGTTACATTGGTAACACAGGTATTTTTTTCATCAACTTTCTTTTGCGTATTTCCTGGATCAGTTTTCACATCTTCTAACCCTTTGCCCTTCTCTGATGATCAAACATCGGTACAGACACTACTCCGTTCTATATTCCCAATAATAGTCTCAGTGTGGCGGTGTGTCAATTCTTGACAAGTGTACTCTTCCTAGTCTACCTCGTACTCCACTATATATCATTTCATTCAATTGAATTCGCGAGGACGTGTAACATCGTAATCTGGTAAGTACCCTAAATCCAACGTTTCCCAACGATGGTTGTCTAAACCGGGGTATCTTGTTCGTCTAAGCTAATCCGATGTTGAGCGCGCAGGTTGGACTTGGCACTGCTTCCAGGTAAGTACTTAGGATTATCGGTGCTTATGAATATTATAGATCCCTCATAATGAAATGATTGGGACTCAGGATTCATTGGATTTTGGATCACAGGGGTGAACAGTTTGTACACTTGGTAATCCGACATCGTCTTTTGTTCGGCGTTGGCATTTGGATTTCAGCAACTGATCTGACTGCATATTTCATCCTGGCTTGGATCCATTCAGTCTCTGCTCACCGCACCGAAATTTCGAGGAACCCAAAAAGTCGATGCGCTGGTTGAAAATCTTCACGTCGCCCTCCGTGCTCAACGTCTTTTGCATCCTTATACCACTTCTTGTAACTCTCAAGACAATCTACTGGACCATTGCTCAAAGCGTGGCTTCGGAGCGCCTCTGGTCACAACATGACACAGTCATCCTCCTCTTTGACCGAGCTGCCAAAGAGTGGTCACCTACAGTTCCTATCAACAACAGCTCACAAAGCATGCTCGAATTGGAACGAGTAGTGACCCGTCATATCACCCTTGTTCATCGCCTCGCAGTGAACGTGCGAATTGCAGGCATTCAGTGGAACGTTTCCATCTTTGTTCTTTCCCTGGTCAGTCTCACCCTTTTGATTGCCCAGCTTTGACAGACTAGCTGACAGCTTTGATCGATTTCAAAGTTTTATTGTTTGACCACAGGTGCCTTGATCCTACTAGTCAGGCGTTCACTGAAGATTGCGTCTGGAAAGATCAACATCTTGACCGGGCAAAGAAAGACCAAGCACTCAGACAAGCCAAAGTCCAGGCCAGAGACTGAAACAAAATCCAGTATCACTACAGTGATCATGGCTGACCAAGGAAGCAAGGCTGCGACCACCTTGCAAAGGGGATACAGTAAGCTACTTGCTATCAACATTCACTCGACTTGTCGCTATGAGTCTGATCGAGCAAGTAGCTCCATTCTGACCCTTATTGATCTTCTCAACACAATAGTGCACCTCACAGTTCAATGTCTCTTTCTCAGTCTTTGTTTATTGTTCGACCTGTCAACGAGCTTTTTTTTTACAACTCACGCCCATCTCATTACGAAAAGGTAAGTTTTTATGAAGGCCTCAAGTTTATTTATGGAGTCCATCCCTGATGGCTTTTTCTTATTCAAAAATTTAATCAGCGGTGAGGTAAGGGCATCAACAGTCTGGGTCAGCCGAATAGGTAGTATCTTCATGGCCGTGGCGACGTTGCTTCGCAGTGTAAGAGTCGAGTTTTCCGAAACATCATGACTCTACCATAAATGATCTAACATAATCTCTGCCTGGGTCAAACTAGTGGCGAATATACAAGACCGAGGAAGCTCAACAAGAATCCCAAACCTACACAGTGATATGTGTATCACCTCAAGAGTCAGATAACACACCGGTACAATTCAAATCACCACTACGGGAGGGCGGAGAAACTGACACGAGCCTCGAGAGCGAAGATCAATACTCTGGCACCAGGCTAAACGTCAGCCACGTCACCAGACACCATTGGAGTCAGGACGGTGGCAATAGGAGGATGGATCCCGAGAGGACCATCTGCGAATCACCACACCCGCCTACTTGATAAACTCGATCAAGCGGCACTGCCTCATAAAACTCGAGCCTGAATCATGTGATAAATTAAGATTATAATTTTCAAAAAGACTGCAATTGATCCTTCTCCTTTCTTAACAGCTAGTTCCTTCCATATTATTCAGCTCTTCTCTTGGTATATCTTTATAATCTCATTCAATCTTGATTATGTTTTGTCAATTTGATTATATTTATGTTCTACTCTATTTATATTTCGCTTTCATATTTCTATTTGACTACATAGTAACACACATCTTCACGCAAATTTTGCCCCACGATTCAACGACCTATTACATTTTAATCTTGGAACTTGAAACTTCAATTGTATCTTGTCATATCACCTTTCCTTAATAGAAGAACCTCAAAGCCTTCTCGGTTCGTCTATGTACGCCCTAGACCTTCTACCTCTGCTTTCGGGAGAAAATCGCCAAGCAGTTTTGTGCTCAATAGGCTTTGCACCCAATTTTCTAATTATTTTGAGATCAACTCTCTTTCAACATCCAAAAAGGTGTCAATTCCTTGCAATATTACCATCACCGCTCCTTCTCACCTTATGACATCTTCCAAATCTTTGTTCCCTTTTGAGTTATGTCAAACTGCCCGGTTCCATAACAAATAGAATCCTTATTTTTCTGGTGAGAATCTTCTCTACGCAGCAATCCACCACATACCTTTAATTCTGTCGCATGCGCAGCCCCCTTTCACATACGTTTAACACCTTTCACATGTGTGTGCAGGCCAGCCAGGTGACAGGTGACAGGTGCTATGTATGCATATTTTTTTTGGTGACAGGAGCCCGCAAGCCCCGACCCTCAAGTCGGTTTCTTAAAACTTCACGACGTTTGCCTCACCACGCACCATACCACATTCACAAGGTCATCCAATACAAACCACGCTCGAAGTCATTAAGCCAGTATTTTTCCGCTTTACAAAACATTGCAATCAGGTTCTAGACAACACCTTCGTGGAGAGTTTCTTTTCGCACCATGGCTTCTCACTTGAGCAACATATATGGATCCGAACAAGTAAGCTACAACATATTCGACTCTTAGTTTTCTCTTTCAGCTAGACAAGAAACTAATGTTCTAAAATTTTGTTGTTACAAGGACAAAGTAAATTGTTCGTTTTACTTGAAGATCGGTGCATGTCGTCACGGTGAACGGTGTTCACGAAAACATATAAAACCTACCTTCTCTCAAACCTTTGTCATCGCAAATATGTATCAAAACCCAGCACATGATCCAAACTGTAAACTCTCAGAAGCAGAATTGGCTTCCTACTTTGAAACGTTTTACGAAGATGTGTTTTGTGAATTGGTAAAATACGGAAACTTGCTTGAGATGCACGTTTGTGATAACGTAGGTGATCATCTGATTGGAAATGTTTATGCTCGATACGAATGGGAGGATGAAGCGCAAATTGCGGTTGATGCTTTTAATCAGCGTTGGTATGCTGGTACGTTCCTCCTGACTCTGTGATTTACTTGTCTCCTCATCCTTCCTTGCTTTTTTCCCTCTCCACTGGCTCTACAGTCTCCCCTTTTCCGTTCTTAGTGCTGCTTTATCAGGTCCTAGTACCGGCTACACTCATTCTTTTCAACAAGCCTTACTTTGTCATTAAGTGCGATCTTTTGGCTAGTGTCTTAGTCGCATGCTCGTCTTGAGCGACTTAGCAAATTGAACTTTCCTCCTGACTTTGTTTTTCTTTGCCTTCGGAACCATCACATATCTCATTTCTTTGGTTTTCAGGACGGCCACTTTTCGCTGAGCTCTCACCGGTGACCGATTTTCGAGAAGCCTGTTGTCGACAAAACGACATGGGTGAATGCAATCGAGGAGGTTTTTGTAACTTTATGTCAGTTGACGACTTTTACTGCCTTTGTTCAATTCTTAGACAGATGCTTATCTTTTGTCATTAATGGGATCAATGATATAGGCATCTTAAGGAACCGCGATCATCCCTGGTGCGCGAACTCCATGCTCAACAGCGTGTAGAGCGCAAACTTAATCCTTCAGCACGCGATCAGGAGAGAGCGCGAGAGATGGCTGAGTTTGGTGTAGCACCCGTCAGCAAAGATCATGCAATGGCTGATCCGTCAGATCAAGACCCTGAGCAGCTGGATGATCGACAAAGGAACGGTAAACGACGTAGCTCGCACCATGACCGTTCTTTCTAGGTTTTTGTACAACATCTCAAATCAATCCGGGCTACACCTATGAAACAACCTACTCTCAAAGATATCGTGTACAATGACGTTAGAGCCCTTCTTGGAATTTACCTTCGGCTAGATTGCTCCAATCTTTCCAATCGCTTGATACCATAATGATATATGACTCTTTCACCGATCGGTTTGCAAAGTAGATCACTACAAAGTCATGTCTCGCTCGGTCTCATCGCAGCATCTCAAAATCAGATTTTGCAATTTCATACGCTGTCTTATTAGCATGTCTGCCTACCAGCTACACTTGGTTTTTGAGCTTGAGTTCTGCTTATCAAGCAAATTTATCAATGTTTTACAAAGCTACAATCCTCCTCTCACACTCCAGCCCACCGAGGGAATTTCTGTGAGGTTCTCTCTTGAAGCTGAAGGACTGACTAACTCTACTCTTGAACATGCCAATACAGTAATCTCACTGATGTAACAGAAACCTTTTTATAGGCTTTGACAAATATCAAACCATATCAAACCATTCAAACCTCATCAGAATCAAAATTACAATCACAAGAGTGAAAGAAGATATAATACCAAACTTACCAAACTATTAACCAATGCAGATTCTTGGGCCTATGCTAAAGGGTCGAAAGCTGGACAACTCTTTGCTTTGCTTATTTTATCTTACCAACACTCAAGTAAATCTTCTGCTGTGCCCTAAAATGAACAATGGAAATCAAGTTATGAATGGACATAATTAGTAAGTTGAAATGTTTCTTGTTATTCACTCCCCAAATCTTTGGATCACGGTGAGATTCACAGATGTAGAATTGGAAGTTTGACCTGAAGGAATGATCATGAACACATTGTAAAGTTTCAGACATGAATGGAGCAAATTGATGTGATTGATTGAAATTAATATTGTATGGAGGGTGACCATGATGATACAAAGATTGAGCTAAGGCTTGCACATACTTGGCCTCAGACCTTGAGAAGGGGGGACACAATTTATGAGAGCTGCTGTATGGGCAGATATTATCAGCCCTGATCCCTGTCACTAGTAACAAGGGGCTTAATTTAAAAGAACTATTAACAAAAACAATAATCACAACTCATGGCTCAGTCTCAAGAGCCAATTACTGATTGGATTGTGACAATAGGGGTTGGGCAAACAACTGACCAACCAGTTTTGTGCCTCTGAGAAGTCCGGCAAAAGGAGTCAAAGATGGCTGAACCAAGCTTTCTGGCTTTCACACATCTGTTACTTTTCCGGGTTACCCAATTTTAGCTCCCAGGTCTGATCCACCATCTGATCTTTCTTCTCCTGCTTCCGCCAATCACTCAGCAAATTCCTGCCCAATTTGCTGTTTCCAAGTGTTCATGCTGCCCTTGGATTGAAGACCGCGGGAGTTTTTTGACAAAAGAATGAGATGAAAAATTACTCGTGGGTAAATGACAAATCAGATCTGATCTCAGCACCGAGAGAGCCTAGGCAACCCTTTTGCCAAAAGAGAAGGGGCCAGGGATCTCTGAAAGGCGCAAAGCGGGGTTTTGTGTGGCTTGTAGCGGCACAAATTGCTTTGCCCTGTAAGAATTTTCAATGGGTACAGCTTTGGCATGATCAAGAAACAAATTGTACCAGTCTACATTTTTGCAAAGCAAAAAGCTCAATAAAAATGTTGGTTGGTTATGAGTGGCTTTGATATTGCTTTCAAGCTATCTCAAAAGCATTCCTGAAATTTTGAACTACAACTGAATTGTGTTTGGAAAGTGTTTGGTCAAAATTTTGCCCAACCCCTAATACCACAAGGAATAACCTCAGGCCATGTCACAGATATCTCACCAGGAGATAAGGTAAGAAAGGACCTAGGATAAGTGGCATAAGGGTTAAATGGTAGGCATCCGTCAAGGGACAGTACACCACGGGTGGCTCCTGTGCCCAAAAGTGGCCTGCCCTGGTCTCCCAAGCGTTGAGTCAGACAACGGACTACAGACTGACCGTGGGCGTCTCTGGGCAGTGACCGGACCAACTGCCCCGGAGGCCATAATTGGCGGACTGTTGGCTACCCCGCGATCATCACCGCGCATGACCGGCCTCACACAGCCAAGCAACCGGATTTCCGGCCTTGCTGAGATCGCGAATCCCCGTGATTGCCGAAAAGAAGGCAGCCCAGCAATCGCCTCCAGGACCAATTCTACATATTCGCGTTGCTGACAGCACACACCAAAATGGACTCCAGTCAGTATTCCACCTTGCATCTGGACATACACAATGCACACTGACCCACATTCCAGCTATTGAGGACATTACCACTGAGCCCTCAAACCCTCGATATCGATGCATTCCATGTGGCAGCCGTGCCATGTCTGGTTACGAATTTCACATCAAAACACCTGCCCACCGCCGGAACGTTGCCGCCTTTATAGCGCGGCAACAGGAAGAAGAAGAATTCCTTGCCGGGTACGAAGCACAAGCACCGACAGAGCCCAATACACTTCTTGAGGCGCCCATGGACGAAGGGCACGTCGATGCTGAACCTTCAGACACCCGCGATAGCCCACCTTCTCCTCTTTCCTATCTTCGAACGCTAGAAGCCTTTGGTATGTCAGATGAAACCGTCAACTCGGATGACTCCGATATCGATTTCAACCGCCTAGGCGAAGCCATCGATGCACTAGCCCAGGACCCGGAGGATGTAGATGATGAGAATTCCGAGCGCGACGACGACGCACCTCAGGCTGACCGAACCGGCGCTAGAGCCCAAGATGCTATCTCGTGGCATCCCTTCAAAAATAAAGAGGTGAATATGAACATGTGCCACATACGCCTTATCAAAATGGAACTGACTCCGCCTTACGCCCGTGTCTGATCTACCAGCAAGTGGCTGGATTGCTCATCATAGGTTCGACCAGGCACCTTCTGTCACGCACTCAGTACCAGCGAATACGATCTATCCTCCGCATATGTGGTGTCATTCTGCCTCATTGGGGCACTCTGAGGGACCTTTGCAAACGCTTGAAGGCCAGACTTGGCCTGGATCTGGCTGAGAGTACGAGCCCCTCTGGCACCCCCCTTTTTGGAATGAGTGTGAAGGCCATAGTCAGCAATGTATGTCATTTCAGCGAGATTTTCTGTGTTTGCTTGGTTTCACACGTATTGAACAGGCCGTGTCTCAGGAGTTAGCCAATCCCATTGTCAGCTCACAACTGCAATTTATTCCCGAGCTACCTCACGACGGGAAAATCAACCGCCTGTCTCAATCTCAAAAGTGGCGCGAGGGTTTTTCCCTAGACCTCCGAGTCCAGATGGTTGTTTCCAATAATCACCATTTCTATATTTATGAACCGGTCAAGCTCCGCTCCGGCCAGCTCGTAGTTCCCGCGTTTTTCTTCCAATACAAAGACAAGGTTCAAGCCAAGTGCCTTCCGGCGCGGATTCAAAAAGATATCACCGACCCAAACCGTCTCAAAGTCGTCATACCACAGGAACCCGGTTTCCACTCGGAAGGATTCTACACCTGCGATGTTGAAGAGTTTGCTTCCCCCTGGAAGGACATTGTCCTGGATGATGGTGACGTCCTGAGTGATTTGTGTGGTTCCCATATGTATCGTACGTATCCCAATCTTTCATGAATCATACCTTGCACGGCATTTATATATATCTTGTTGCCCTCGGTCCTGCAAAGAACACCAAGGAGTTGGTGTTGTTACGCAACCGATTCAAAACCCATGGCGAGTGAAGGCCGCAGGCAAAGTCATACGACATGTGCCGCTTACGTTATATTCCGACGATACATCCGGTAATGTGTCGAAGAAGTGGAATCATCACATGAGTATATTCTTTACTCTGTCCGGATTGGCCCCCCAATGGACAAATCAAGATTATAATATCCACTTTTTGGCCACTTCGAATAGCGCGACCACCCTGGATTTGTTTGACCGAGTGGTGGATGATCTGAAGTGAGTCCTTGTCAAAGTCATCTTCTGCTTTCCCACCATAGTTGATCCATGTTGTTCCCGATGGCTACGGCGGCCAGCGAATACAGCGAACACGGATTTGTTGCCTACGACGAAGCCCTTGGAGCAGAGGTCCTCGTGATGGTGATGGCGCTTTGTCACCTCGGCGATTCCCCGATGCACGCCGAGATTTGCAACACCACGAACCCAGCAAACACATTAACACCTTGTCGTATGTGTGAGTTACGAGTAGATCAAAAGCTGGATAAGGAACAAGAAAAGTTTGTGAGGGACTTTGTGGGGCTCAACAAACATGGATGTAAGGTATGTACAACAATGATTTTCTACGAAAATTGTTATATCAGCGTTTTGCCTAAAGTTGGGAGCTAGGTCAAATTGCCAGCCCGAGATTGGAATGTGACTCTCTTACGCACGCAAGAGCTTTGGAAGTTGGCACAACGTCGAAACACGAAATCTCTCATTGACGAGAAGGCCAAAGTATACGGCCTCCGAGATCCGATGAATGAATACTTCCAGAAAAAAATTCAAGTGGCCCACGACACATTGCCTGCCGGCGATGTGGAAATCCTTTACAAAGATTTGAACGACAAGTTGGGCCTCAAGTTGTTCAACCCCATGCTCAGACTCAAAGGTCCGTCCGAGATAGAATACATTCTATCCAAAACCCCTATTTCAGTTGATCAATACACACTATATTTTTCCAGGTTTCGACGGTCATAAGGACACCCCAGTTGAGGTGCTTCATGTGGTACTGTTGGGAATTGCAAAGTATTTATTCCGCGCCCTCATGAAGAAACTGGCCCCTATGAAGCCTGGCACAAAAAAATACAACGACATTTCCGGAAGATGGCGAACCGTTAGCACACGTGGTCTGGACATCCCGCCAATCCAGCCAAACACAATGATTCAATACTACCAAAGTTTGGTTGGTAAGGATTTCCGGAGTGTTCTGCAAACCGTTCCGTTTGTCCTCTTTCATCATATGAGCAAAGAGGAACGTCACCTCTGGATTAGTTTGTGTCTTCTGAGCTCCTTCGTATTCCAAACGGAGATCTCTAATATGAATATCTACCTCCGAGAGTTAGATGATCACATCGATTCATTCCTCCATCAACTTATTAACTTTACGGCACAGTGGGTCAACAAACCTAAATTCCACATGTTACTTCACCTTCAAGATTCGATTCGTCGTTTTGGCCCTGCGTCACTTTTTGCTACGCAGAAGATGGAGTCTTACAACGGCAATCTACGCGACGCCTCCGTGCACTCCAACAAACAGAGCCCAAGCCGGGACATCGCTAACACCTTCAATACCGAAGTGTTGTTGCGCCTGCTGATTTCAGGGTCTTCTTTCTGGGACAAGGAACTCCAAGCTCGGGTCACCGCAGGGCCTGATGTAAAGGCTCTATTCTCTACGGTTCCGGAACTGCAACAGGCTATGGGACTCAACGAGTCCCCAAAGGTCAAAAAAATTCACAAGTATGGACGTAAGTGGATTTCCTCCGGGCCTGCCAAAGTCTCCCGTCCTCACTGCGTTCGACAAACTTGCAGGACCAAAGGCCAACGCAGGTATCCCACCACGTTGTCTCCCTCAATTGGACCCCGGTCGGACGTTTGTTTGTGTGGAAAATGTGACCCTTCCAAAAGGCCAGGTGGTGCGCCCTCTGGACTTTGTCATGGTGAGTCACCGACGCTGTGTGAGCTCAGCAAGCCCACTGAAAAATGTCCTTCTGTAGCTCCAGAATGGATCGAGTGTGGCCCAGGTGCATTCTATCTGGAAGGTAGACGGCGAAGCCGCAGTCAAAACCGTCCTGGTTTTAGCTCAATGCAACAAAGGCCGGGTGGTCGCCTTTTACGGAATGTGTGAGTTCATCAAAACTGAACACCAATTCGCGCGCAGCGTCAAGGTATGTCACGACAATGTTGCTATTCTACATGGACAGTGAAGTTTGTACTCATTGCAGGGAAATTATTGACTCAGGAGGTGGCCACCGTGCTCAACTTCCAGCATAATTGCCACGAGGCAGAGTGTGCCATCAAAATGGCTTTCACCAAAAAGATCGAGCGCAAAATCTGTGACATAGCGGTTCCTGGACTCACTCATAAACCAACCAATTCTTACATCTTAAACTCCACGTTGCAATATTCCAGTGAGGTTCATCGGAAACTTGCGGATTTGCATCTGACGTGGGTCACACCTTGTCAATGGAATGAAACAATTGCCCACGGCGTCCAAGTTTGGCACGATACCCCCCGACCCCAGAAGCAGCATAAAAAGGGCCCAGATGCTTCTCAAGCTTGATTCTCACGCAGTCAACCATGACTGCCTCTTCTAATGCGACCACTTGGGGGCCCCAAAGGGGCCAAGGCCTGATACCCTTTGGAGTTTGCGGAATCGGAAGTGCAAGTGGACGTGCAGGGAAAATGCAAGAAAGAAAATATTATCCGAATTAAAGACATGTTTCCTCGATATATCCTAGTCAATGGTATGAATGTGGATCTATGTGGTGTATGTTGTTGACAAAGAATACAAGAAGAGCCATTTCCCACAACCAACTTTAGTCCCTTGTACTATCCAGACCGTAATGCAGCCCTTCCTAATTTTGATGTGAATGGCGAATTGACCGAAAATGCAAATATGAGCCGATGTTGAAAAAAAGGCAATGTTGTCAACTGAAGCGCCATGTGACCGAATTGAATCAACGTCCGGCCTAAGAAACGAGAATCACCAGAACGTTTGACCTTCTCCAAGGCCAAGGCGACATGCTCGTATGCATAGCGCCCTCACGCGCAGGCTGGCCGGTCGCTATTATCAGTTTGAAATATAAATCTGATAATAGCGTTAAACACTTACATTATAACTCCAAATGCCAGTGGAGTCGCACCTTGAGTGAGTGCGCAGTGACACAGTTTGCGACGGCCTGTTCGTGATCCTCGTGGATAGTAAGCCGCACAATGCCAAAAGCACATCTCTCTATCACCAGCCCCAATGCTGTGGAGATTTCGGGTCTTTCTTCGATTAAATAACCCTTCACGCCCGTGACCATTTCAATCGCATAGTCGGTGGTGTTCAACCAGTCTTCCCAATTGTGGCCATCCAATTCCAACTTGTCCACCACGTCCAAAAGGTCTGGAAGTCTGTCGTATTTTCTAAATATGGATTTGACCCCCTCGAACTCTGATTTTTGAGCGCTTTCAACGGCGGACAGCACATCACTTTCAAAAGGCATTTTACAAAAACGGTTTTGTGGAATAGAGATCTGAGGATGTGCTGGCAAAAGGAACAAGTAAGGTGAATCTGTTTCGGAAGAGAGATTCCGGCGAGGTTTGGCAATTCGACACCTCGAACGTCCGCTCGCGATCTCTTTTGGCTCAGCAGCCTCATCCCCACTTCTCATGTTGGCATTGAGATACAAGCGGACTAACCGCTCAACAATGTCCATCGAATACGCCTGGGCCCCTCACGAATCTCATTTCATCAAAGTCGTGAGTGTCCATTTTTGGCGACCGACAAACAACGGGCGTGCTAACCTAACCGGTTTGGGATGGGGCTTGTCTTCGCTTCAGAGGCGCCGTTTTTGCGTCCCCGACCGACCAACAGCAGGCGTTCGAAATCATTTCCTTTTGGGAATGGTCCATTCCCATTTGTTTGGTTTCAATGTTGAGTGAGGCCCATCGTGAGTTCGCAATCAACTGACGTGAAGGAATGAAGGGCGATCAGCCACCGCCTGAGCCAGAACATGTTGTTGTCCTTGACGATGCAGCTGGCCATTGGTTGAGATTGAAGCAAACCCCCGGCGGTCGCGGTATAAAGTGAGCCTCACTTTCCACTGTCGGAAATTTTCTTCAAAGTCATCCCCCTGAACACTCCAGTTTTTTAACTCCCATTATATTGAACAACTGTTCCTTGCGAAATTTTTCCTCTTCAACCTTTCATAACTCACACATCCTCAAATGGCATCATTTCAAATGAGAAGCCTTGGTGGGTCTTTGCGAACTCCCCTCCAAATGCCCCTCCCGGCCTCCTTACATCGTTCTTCAGCTTGTTATCCCCTTGTCAATCTTCTCCGATGTTACACCGTTCCTGATCTCGCACGCTTTCTCTCGCGCGGTTTCCATCTTCCTCAGGCACCCTCAACACCCCCGAACCCAGCGGTATGCAAGCGGGACTTGAGGGAACTCGGGGTCTAGCCCAAACGACTTCCCTGCGGGACCTTAACAACTTTGGGTCATTACGAGGCAATCAAGGTTGGGACGGTTTTTGCAATGACCTTTCAACCCCAAACCCCATTGGCCTTAAATTCATCATTATCCTCCTTGATCTTTCATTGTCTAACTCGCCACCCACCTGATCTTCAGCTTTGCAACGGGGGCCTGCCTCACGCAACAATCGTTCGCTTTCGCCAGGCGGCCAAGACAGCTGAATGGCCGACGGTGATGAAGAACCAAGTTCCACTAGAACTTTAGGGCCAACCGAATTGAACCTATTCGGAGAAATGGTCACCAAAGCTGGTCTTGACGAAGTGCATCAAGAGTATGCCCGTGGCAACTCTGAGGTTTGTCACCTTAAAATCATCAGCTTTCCAATCGCTCACTGACCATCTTTGATCAGGTACATGATTCCTACAAACACATGGCCGTCACTGTTGGCCAAGTCAAAATCATGTTTGATATTTCCCGGTTATCTGAGAACCTTTCAAGACTCACTGACACGGTGGAAGGTATCACTCAACAACTTTCCGACAAAATTGAAAGTCTCACTGAAAATCTCTCCGATAAAGTGGATGGGATTACCCAACACCTGAACCAACTCACTGAGTTGGTTCAATCCACCCCAAATCTTCGACCTAACGATGCTGCCCAAACAGCTGATGGGCCAGTTGGCCGCAATGTTGCTCATACTTGGGCCTGCTCGACCGAACTGAGGGTATGTAGTGTTTCTTATGTTTTTCCTAATAAAGGACCAGCTAATCGCCCGAGTCAACAGGGGGCCATCAGCCATCAAGCGCATAGGTTTATCACCATGCCTGTCATTGAGTCCTACACCGCCTTGGAATCCCCTGACCGTGTATGGCTGGCCAATTCGCTCTTCAATCGCATCAAGGTGAGTCCACCACTTTCTTCTCTGGTTTGTCCTTTTCTGTTCCTTATGTTACTACGTTCTATCTAGTCCGGTGTTAGACAATTGGACAGCATCAGACAACATCTCCCGCATACCATTAATGGTGTGGCAGACGTTCGCGGCACGAAAGTTTACAATACCGAGATTAAAAATGTTGCTAAACATGTGCGCAAGAAGCTTCATAATTTGGTAAGTTTTGTTCCTTTATATGCAAAGCGGTAGGCCAAACTGATACGCTCCCACAGCTCTTAACCGGCATATATGATCCAAAGAACGGGGATGTAGTCCATGGAGCTGTTCCCACCCTTAAAGTTTTGGTGCATCGGGTCAGTTATCTCTGCGTCTGCTTCTACAACAGGATGTATTTTTCCTGATGTGTCCCCATCTAGATTGCCGTTAAGTTGGGACGCGCGGGCGACAACTCTGACGTAGAGTCAGTTTGGGCCGATACTGACTCAGTCACTCGTTGCCGAATCGCTTATCTTGTGAGTCACTTTGAATGCCGCGGTTGTCTTTGCATGTCACTCATTTGCCACGTGAGATGATTCCTTTCTTCCTTTCCCATCTATTGCAGCGTCGCGAAGCCGTTCGTATATTTCAGATTGGAAGGGGTTCAAGCTCTATTTGGGCCGCTGTGGACCAGAAGCTGCACGATCTCCGTTCCCTTGGGCGGGAGTATACTCTCTCGTAAGTTCCTTTGGCCCTTGACTATGCTTCTATGAACACTGTTCTGAGCGCTTTCTCTTCTTCAGGTTTTATACCCTGATTTATCAGGCCGACCGTACCGTGTTTGATGGGCAGACCCGATTTCAGGACATCTCAGCTAACGTGTTGTTTCGGTTGCCTCACGATGACGAAGTCACCGCTGCCATTGTTGTGGACGAGGACAACCTCATTGATAACCAAAATGATGATGATCAGCGATTTTAGAATACTTACTTATTTGTAGCTTTGTGTGCTCCCAATATGTTTATCCCTAAAACAGATATAATCAAATTTGTTGTTCCGTAACCTCTCTCCCTCCGGAGTGAATAAAAGCTCTCATGGCAGCTTAAGCTTGTTTGCCACATGACACCAACGGTCCCAATATCTCATTTTGCATCTAGACCGATGGGAAGCAAAGACGTCTGCATGGCGTCTTTGCTTACCATTGGTTTTTTTTTTGGCCCGGCGGAACCATGGTGGGCGGCCTATGGTCTGGCCCAATCTGACTCAAAGTCTGACTTTTGGCCGAATGGTTACGGTTCCCAAAGGCGGTTGCAAATCCGCCAAACTGAGGTCTACCCAAAGGCTGTCGTTGCGCGCGGGGGTGACGGCCACCCTCAGACGGCCGGGGTCCCCCGACCTCAGACGGTCAAGACCCTCCCGTGGTGTAGAGTCCTGGATGAGTAATCATCAGATGCTCCCTAAGTTCACAATTTTGAGAAGGTCCACCACTGCAGACATTATTCGGGTTCCCCAAGTGGGCAGGGAAAAATGATTGGGAGTATGATTTGTCATAAAATGGTCTATCACTCCACACCTGAGCCATAACACCCACACTACATATGTGTAGCAGGCTCAGTGAATATGTGGTTATCATGTACATACAGTTCTGCTCAGTTATCTGCTCATCAGGACAAGTTATTCATATGTAATACATGCTGTAACTTCTTTCAGATTGAAAAAAGCTTCCAAAAGATTGACTACATACACTGACTCAATGTTTTGGTGTGATCTCATCAACTCAACTGCATGTAACACACTTTCTGTTACTAAGACATAGCTTCAACAATATTGCCTGAGCAGCTACAGAATTATATGTAGTGAATTTTTGGGAAAAAAATTTCAAAGTCGAAAAAGTTACATGTGGTATAACATGTGATTTATTTATTCTGATGGGCAAAAAACTGAGCAGACCTGTATGTACATGATAGACAACTATTGACTTAGCTTGCTGCACATATGTAGTGTGGGTGAAATGGCCCAGGTGTGCAGTATTAGATTCTTTTATGAAAAACTGTACTATTAATCATTTTCCTCTGCCAAATTGGGGAAGTTGAATGATGTTTACAGTGCACAGTGTGGTTTCTTCCCTCCGTCAAGAAATCACTCATTCTGGATCCACTCATTGACTCTCATCCTCATCCTCTTATTCTCTCTCCTCTGTGAAGATTTTTTGACAGATCACTTTTTCCCTTTTTGAACCTGTGTCAGGGTGGCTATTACTTTGACAGCTAAATAATCTAGACTTACGCTGTCTGAAGACCTGACTGGAATCCCGCTGGGTACGTGGGATGGTAGATTCTAGAGTTACCTACACCGTGTTTGTATCCTTGTAGCACATCGACGTGCACACACAAATTAGTTTCCTTAGACACTTGACAGACCTATTGAAGAGGTTTTACAACAGACACATCTTTCCTTTATAAACTGGGATGTTGGCAGTCAGTTGACCCCAGCTGATGACAAAGGATTCTGTGAATCCCAGAACTAAATCATTGTCCACAAAGGGTTCTCAAGAACAATCTCAGTCAAAATCTGACCAAAAGACTTTCAAATTTGTTTTGAAACTCTCCGTGTGTGCAAGTCAACGTGCTACAAGGATATTGACATGGTGCTAAGTAATTAAAGACGGGTAAATTATCAATGAGTATATTTCTCGAAAATAAAACTGATTCTTCTAGGAAGAGCACAGGCTTACTGTTAGTTGAACAGCAGTGGGAGCGTGACTCCTAAACCTGGGTTTTTTCTCTGGAGCTTGCAGCTCAGATTAGCCTGAAAATCCAAAGATAATACAGGGATCTCGTACAACTATGAGTTGCAAGAACGGTAGTATTGACGAAGTAGAGGTTCACTTACGGATTAAGGCAAGATGAAGTAAATTCTGGGGAATAATATTCAGAGGTGAGGACCCTACTGAGCCGGTCTAATAGTTATTAACTGGGTCGAGAACTAATTAGCAGCCTATGGAGTAACAACGATTAAAGGGAGTTGACCGCGCTGAAGATATTTCACGAGAAAGTGAGAGGGTGGTTACGTTTATTTTACGATGTTTTAAATTTCTAAGGAGAATCAGGGTTCGGGGATTGAAAGAATAGGACAAGCAGCGGTTAATCGAGAATATCAGTACTAGTTTCTAAGGGAAGTAGTGCTAGATGATTGGGATTTCAAGACTGCTAATGGATTCAGAAGATTTTAAGGAACACTGACGATTTCTTGTTAGAAACTTTTATAACGGTAAAATGCGATGCCTCTCTTTCCTGAGGGCAAAAGGGTTGAGGTTTTATACCTTTCCCAACTAATTGGCCAAGCCTTCGGTTAACGACGTAGATGGTTATTAACCTGAATCCTTATCTTAATGTCGTCCGTAGTAAGAATATCATCCCTCGGACTTCGTGGAGAGTTCTTTTCCTTGGTTGATTAGTTTCCTTAGTGTTCTTTTCGAGCTTTATCATGACTGAAACCTTTCGTGGTTTGAGAACTGTTGGATCTTTTAGAGTCCTTGGTGATCTTCACTCTGTAGTTGATTCCATTCAGTAAGTTTCTTTTACTCCATTTACGTATAAGTTTGTATACGAGTTTTTCGACTCTTGTGAATTTATTTGAACTTATTACTCATATGATTTTACGTAATTTGTCCTTACTGCTCTTGGCTCGTAAGTAACTTCTATTCCTTCGTTTCTTAGCTTGTTTTATCTAATCCGTTCTTATTCTTCTCAGAGTGTTCTAGTAATTTCTTGTATTTTATTTCCTGGATGGGTCTTTGATACTAGACCTCTAAGTTGTGGTTCTTTTATTATATGAGTTCTTATGGTATTTTATGAATCTTCCATACTAGGTTAATTTAAAATATATTGTACATGAAATGTAAAGGGTATTTTTTAATGATGATATAATAAATAAGGGTTTTATTTACAACTGTGTGAAGAAGTATTAGTTCACCGTGTAGTCTATTTTGAAGTGCTCTTGGGGCTTCTAAGTGTAAGCTCTCGAGTACTGACAACCTGCATGTTTAAAGACCCCTGTCACACTGAGGTTCAAAGGGTCTCTGCACCAAATCTTTGCTCAGCAAGCCTAAAAATTTGCACGTGCTGGAATCCACTGTTGCCTGGATCAGCATTAATGTTCAAAAATGCTAGGTGCTTACACCCACAGTCAAGCCAGCCTCAGTCCCACCATCAGAGAGAAAGTTGTACCACATCAGTTACACATGTGTAAAAAATATAGTCAATGAATATTCATGTATTATTGTATACAATGAAATATTATGTATGTAACTGAGCCACAAGTTGTGCTTGTAGAATTTTCATTGTTTTGAGCATATAAAGAAATCTCCCACCCACTATCAAAATCATTGTCATCCTTACTTTCAACAAAATCACAACTAACTTCATCAAATAAATAATCTGATTCCTTGCCCTCATTTACTAGGCACTGCATCTTTCTCTACTCTATAAACCTATTTGTTATTTGTTGGAGTTGATAATGTGTTTCTCCAAGGTGGACAATGATTGCATTTAATGCTCAAATTGATTAACAATAGGGGTTCTCAAAGTTGGCCCGGTTTTAAGAAAACCTAGTTGACCCGGTTGCTTTTTGGCAGTAACCTTGTGTATTGAGTTGACTTTTTTTGACAGATCACAGCCAAAAAGTCAACTGGGTCAACCAGGTTTTTACAAACCGGGTCTACTTTGAGAACCCCTAATGCAGAATTAATGCAGAATTAATGCACTTTTGATTATTTTGTCCATTAAATGTGATCATTTGTCACCTCAGATAAACACATTTTATTTGCAGTGTTTGTTATTTGTTGGAGTTCTTTTGAATAATTCATTGATTTTGCCAGGAAGTTATTCCTTTATAGTATTCCTTGAGTCATCAACACAGTGTCCATCACAAATGCGCCAGACACCCGGTGAGGTTGAAAGTGTGTCAAGTGTATAAAATGTTTGTGTTTTCCATAAAAATAAACCACCCTGATCAGATCAAATGACCCCAGAAAGGCTGGTGAAACCTTTACCTCAGGACTACAACAGGGGGCAGCTGTTTGAGGCACAAGTTGCCCAACAGCAGCTGCACACATCAGTTTAACTTTACATTGATCAATCCTATCAAAGTTCCAAAGAAAGTCCCAATGCTTGGTAGCCTCCTCATATCAAGAGCCCATCACCTTTCAGTTGTGGCTTATGCTTGACACAAGCAAATGGATTTGGCAGACACTGGGTATATTCTCTACCTGCACACATCCCCTTTTCACACAACCATGTGGAGTGACACCAATAATCTGCTGGTGCAAGACATAGCAGTGTACATATTCAAAATGTGCATACCAAAGAGTATAATTGATGAGATCACCATCAAGATCTAACTCATCTTACATGATCCATACAACAGGCACCAACACTACTCTATTGTGTGACCAGGACAAGTAGGATGGTTGAATTTTTTCTGTGAATCAGCTTCCAGGAGTTTCAGATCACTTTTCCATGAAAAGCACTTCAAACTGGATGTGAATGATTTTGGTTGTGCAAGGGGGATTCCTGCCAAAAGTATAGTTCTCATGAGCATTGATTAGACTTGGCACAGCTCATGGAACAAAGCTGCTGAATCTTAGACACTTGATTAGGCAACAAATTTCCTGGGTTCCTTGTTAATCAGTTAAGGCAACAGAAGATACAAAGAGGAGAAATGACACCAACTTGAAAAATCTCATCTCTTTTCTGGAGAAATCATTGACAAATTCTTTCTTAGGTTTCTCATTTATGTCTTGCGCTTGATTCTTGAAGATCACATCACCATCTCATCATTTTTTGACAGAGAACCTTGCAGTTCATATGGACATCAAGTTGGTAGGTAAGTGTTTCCATTCACATTGAGAGCTGCTTTCAGTGTGAGTAGTGGATTTACCATTGTGGCTGAAGTTTCTGTATCACTCCATATGGCATTTTCTTGTTCCTGCTGAGGGAAAGATGATGATGATGATCAATTGAATGTAAACAAGTAGTGCTGAAATTACCAATTGCTCCTTCTCTTCATATTTTTTAATTCTTTCAATAATTTGGTGGTTTCATTTTCAACATCAGCACTATCAATGTCATCACTTATTTCATCATCATCATCATAGTCATTGTCACCACTATTATCACCTTGAGTTTAATGTTATTGTGTAAGGATAGCTATATGTGTAAAGTTATCTTTTGATATCATGAAAGGAAGAGAAAAACTCATATCTAAGTCCCACACTGACCCAAGCCAGTTGGAGTCAGCAAGGAGCAAAAATATTATTAAAGGATATGAAGGTCATGTGAAGCTTCCTCCAAATTTCCAGCCATATCTCAACAACTCAAATTCTCAATACTGTATCTCAACAGCTCAGGGATGTTCAGCCCACGCTGGAGTGATTCCCAACCAGTTAATTGTGGCTGATCCTGAACGTTGCTGCAGGGAGACTGAGTTATTACACATTTTGTAGGACAAATTCTGCACAAATTCTGGACATCTGCTTGACAGAGAGCTCATCTGATGTCTGGTGAATTTTTAGTGGACACTGTTTAAAGAGATTAAGGATCTCTGTGTTCAGATTTTAAAGCACTTCAAGATATCATAAGGTGATATCTTTCCTTCATCAACAACTTTAGTTTAGAGTGAGATGCTTGGCCACAAAACTGGGCTCCAGTTGTCATTAATCCGGATAGAAGCCCCCAAAGTCTTATCTTAAACTCTGGATAAGGACAATACATCCTCTTTTAAGAGGTCGATTAGTTGAAGTCAGTGTTGATTTTATCACACTACTTCCTTTTAACTTCATTTAAAATACATTGAGTTTTACTCAAGTAGTAAAGTTTGTTAACTATTCTCAACCTTGTTTTTTGTGACCCACTAGCCTAAAAGAAGCTAGTAGCTCACAGATATCTTCCATACATGTGATGTAATTTTATTCACCTGTAAAACATCTGTGGCTTCCTTGGATCACACAGAGTCAAGTAGCTGAACTGTCTATTGATTCAAATTGGGGGTCAGGCGGTGGGTGTGTTTTTTGGAATGCCAGGCGCAAAAACTGTCAGCTGAGACACACCCAAATAGTAGGGGGAGCGGGGGGTGCACCTGTTGAGAAAAAAGTGTAGTAAAATAGAAAAATTCTTTTCAAAGACAGAAATTGAGGCTTTTATAGATGCTTGGACACAGTTGGACATCAAGTGGGACTTTACAAACTTGCTTTGAGTAGAGATAGTCTTGTTATTACAGTGTATGTAAAGAAAGAAAATTATCAGATCATTCAAAAGATATCTTCAAGGTACCATGACTTTGAAGGACAATCAAGAACAATGACATCTTGAGTTTGGGGCTCATCCACAGGAGTTTGTCTGTTTTCAAAGTCAGACTAAATCAAGCATGGTATTGATGTAACCATTGTCTATTCCAATGTTAGAGTCAAGAGGACCTTCTACCTGATCATTCATACTGACACTGACAGGAAAGACAGCAGCTTCAAAGTCTTTGACCAACATTAGGGTCAAGAAGACCTTCTACCTGATCATTCATACTGACACTGACAGGAATGACAGCAGCTTCAAAGTCTTCAAGACCATCAGGTACATCAAAGCTGTTATTTGAGTTGCTTTCAAGACTTGAATCTTGACTCACTGCTCCTGAAGTACTTTTTTTAAGAGATTTGCTCACAAGAAATTCCCATTCCAACTTGTGAGTCCATCCTTAGTGTATTGGGATCCATTTGGTTACAATGTTTTGTCTTTGTACCTTGTTTTCTTTTGTGGGTGTCTGCTTTTTACAGTCTTGACACTGCTTTGCTTTTCACCTCATGTTGGTTGTCTTGTTTTTTATAGTCATTTGGGTTTTTTCATCACTGTAAGTCTGTGTATATGCTGCTCATGAAGATTCAAGACATTGTTGGAGAAGTCCTGATTTCATTAAACTTATCAAAGTACCCCCACCTCCCCCCACCCAAATAGTCAAGGGAGGGACTACAGTATAATGTCATGGTTTTCAACTCACAACATCAAAATTGTTGGCCTTTTTGGTCTTTGCCCATTATGAGGGTTCAACTTCCACACCTCATGAAATCTTGCTTCCAGCCGCACACAGCTTCCTTGACATCTTGTGGGTCTCCTGGTGCTGGTTTAAGATCTTCATTGTGGATAGATTTGCTGCTATTGTAATTCTTGAACACCTTGTTTTTGCAGACATCTGCATGCTTTAGGGGTCCTGTATGAAGTTAGGTGCTCCAGCTACAACTTTTTACAACTCTTCTCACGAGTGAGCTCAATGAATACAACGGATGCTAAAAACACACAAAGATCTGTCCGAGGCGCAAATGAAGATCCTTGCGGCTGGAAGCCAAATTTGATGAGGTCTAGAACCCTCATAATGAGCGATAAAGCAAAAAACACCAAAAATCGTGCTGTTGTGAGTTAAAAAGCGTGACTTTAGCTGTAAGTCCCTCCCTCGACCACTTATAAGGATTTCTCTTTGACGGTCGAAGAAGCAAAATTGCTTGACCTGAGCCTCCTTATCCTTGCCAGAAAACAGAATTGATCTTTTGCGTCACTGACCTAGGTCCAAATTTGGCCAAAATCCGACCTTTTCCGTCCTCCACAGGCGCTTTCCAGCGGGATCTCGAGTTCAGGTCTGTCAGGATTGACTTTCACCTCGTAGCATGGCTGACTGATCTTTCGGATCAAATAATGTCTAAGCGTCGATTGAGATTTACCGAGCATCGTTACGCAACCTTTTTGATCGGTTCGTCCCGCTTCAAAAGCTATTATTGGATGGAGCCAACCTCTGTATCCAAACACCGCAATCGATTGTGATATCGTCAAGATGGTGACGATGAGGAGATATGTATGTGAATTCTTTCAATTGTTTAAATCGAAATGGTGACATACATAGCAAAACGATTATTAATCAATTTTTCTTGATCACCCTCATAGCGGGTGAATCGGTAGTCAAAAGATGTTGGAGATCTCAATGATGTATGCGTGACGACTGACGATCAAGATTCTCATGGAAGGAAATATCATGATCGATGAACGAATCAATTAAACGGTAAAACTTCACCTTGATCAGAGATATCAGAAACATCAAGGGTGTATTTAACAGTTACTTCAAACCTTGATGCCATAAGTTTGATTGCGATCCAATTTACCATTTGACAAAAAAACGTGTACTTTTATTTCCTCGTCTTCGGCTTTCTTAAGAACATTCATCACTCTCTTGAACCTGCGTGACCGGAGCACCAGGAAGCTTGACAAAAGTCAATGCCTTATTAAACAACAACAGTGGATCGCATTAGTTTGCTTTTATTATTTTATTATTTTCTATTTTCCTCGATATACGCGGATTACATCCACGAATCAGCCAAACTACCCCTTGGGAGGTAGCGAGGGCCTGATTCTTAAGAAATAATTATTTGAGACTCTTTCAATGACTGCATCAAGCCTACAACGAGTCCTACGCTCGAAATGGACTTTCATCCTCCTGGGGTTCTCCATGATTTGCTCAGAATTTCCAGGATTTCATTACGATACGTACACTTCCACGCTGAAAAATTTCGCGGACTCAGAAGAACATCATGACACCAACAGGTCTCCGTTCTCGTCTCTACCTCTTGAGAAAAATACTGCCTTGTTTAACGCTCATTCTTCACTTTACAACGTGCGTACCAAGTCTTGCATTTTTTTCGTATTCCATGACCGGCGCCCTAACATGGGTTCTGTGTCAGCAGAAGAAACCCCTCAATAATATCTTATCGCCTTCCTCCAATAACCAACGTGCTTCAAATCAAGTCGACTCTATGGAGAACATTCAAAGCCATCGTCTCATCAAGCGAAAATCAAAGGATAAGAAAATGAAAATGAAACAAGACAAAAATAGTGAGTGATTCAATGTTGAGCGGGATGAAATGTCCGATATGGCTTCAATGAGCTTCAATCCTGATCATTTCTTTTGTTTGTAAAATACCAACTTGTGAATCTCAACGTGCAGGCTCTCAAAGTCTACTTCCACCAGTTTCAGAACTTCAGAATATTCCACAAGATTCAGAAATTCAGGCACCTTTACCAGACTCAGATCCTACAGAGATGTCAACCCAGCCTCCTGCTGATCAATCCAATTTAGGGAACAATGGAGGTTCAAAGTCCAAAAAGAAAAAGAAGAAAAAGAAGAAAAAGAAGAAGAAAAAGAAAAAGAAGAAAAAGAAGAAAAATAAAAAGAAGAAAAATAAAAAGAAGAATAAAAATACAAAAAAGAGTAAGTAGTTGTAGATCTGGCTAAAATCGCTTGTCTCAAACCTAATGCTATTTTTCAAACTACCGAACCCATTAATTACATTTACAAGATCCAATTCCAGGCTCTGAAATTCAAACAACTCCACCAGTTTCAGAGCTTCAGAATGTTGAACAAAATACAGACGTTCAGGCTCTACCAGGCTCAGATCTTACAGGGGCTTCAAGCCAGACTCCTTCTGATGTATCTAATTCAGGAAACAATGGAGGTCCAACGTCTGAAAAGAAAAAGAAAAAGGGTAGTAAGTAGTCGGAGATCTGGCTCAAATAACTTGTTGCAAACCTGATGTTATATTCTCCTTCTTGTGAATAACTTTCTGAATTTAGAGGAGAACAAATCTGGTAAGTGTCAGACAAATGTGGAAATTGTCTCTAAGGATTAATAACTCCTATAAAAAATGAGGTTCTGATGATGTCGCAATCTAACATGTTTAAAATTTGGTTTTCAGGCGACAAAAACGGTAAAGGCGAAGGTAAAGCTCACTTCCGTCAAAAGTGAAATCCGCCCCTATTTTGATCGCTTCAATATTAATATGAATCGAATTTTCCTACCGATTTCTTTTTGGATAAAGGAAATCAAAATCAATCTACTGGCGGCACAACTCAAGGAGACGGTTCAAGTGCAACTGGTAGGTCAAATCTGCAAATCACATACAATGAAGAAGTTGACAATTTCATATGAATCATAAATGTACCCCAAGGCAAAAATACGAATTCAGAAACAGTCACAGTTCCAGGCAAGAGTTACTTCCACTTATTGGTGAAAAGGAGATCTGGCTTTACTAACAAACCCGATGCTCATCACAGACGCCCCAACATCAGGCACTCCAGGAGTAACAGCAGATGAGTCACAATCAATATCACAAAGTTTACAGGACCTCTCATCGACTACGCCAGATGGTATGGAAGTGTTTCTTGACGCATCAACTTCCGCAAGAGCTAGAAACTGATTAAAAGTTTTTCTGTGATCGGTATAGTCACAAACTTGGATAACACTTCACCCATTGGTGAACCCACTCTGGATGAGAAATCTACAGATAACTCCAAACCTGGCAACGATGGAAGCTCAAAGCCCGATAAGAAGAAAAATAAAACTAAGAGGAAGAAAAAGAAGGAAAAGAAGAAAAAGAAAAAGAAAAAGAAGAAGAAAAAGAAGAAGAAGAAGAAAAAGAAGAAAGAGAGTAAGTAATTGGGAATCTGGCTCAAACCGTGTCTCAGAGCTAATGTTCTCGTTGTCCTACCTGTGAATTTCCGAATTTAGAGGACAACAAATCTGGTAAGTTTTGGAATAATGTGCAAATCTTCGTTAAGCGATCAAAAATTTGTTTGACACGAGATTCTGATTTGACATATTCAAATATTGATTTTTAGGTGACAAAAAGGATAAAAGCAATGGTAAATCTATTTTATCTCGATATTATGCAACCCATCGCCTTAACATTGTTTGTTAATTTGGCCTACCAATTCTCTGTTCCTTGAAAACGATGAAGACAAACCCACAGATGGATCAACTCAAACGACTGATTCAACTGCAACTGGTAGGTCAAATGCATAAATCACATATATTCATAAAGCTGACAGTTCGATATGAACAATGTGTTTTCTCACAGACCAGAATTCAAATGCGGTTGCAGATCCAGTTCCAGCTGATACAAGTAAAGGTGACTTCTATCTTTTGATGAAAGAGACATATAGCTTCATTAACAAACCGACCGGGTACCTATCACAGATGTCCCAGCATCACCCACTCCAGGAGGATCCTCAAATGATACATCATCATCTCAAAATCCCCAAGACGGATTGCCTAATGCGGAGGCTGCGGTGCCACTCACGGATACGCAACCCACGAACTCTTCATCCAGCGGTAACAACGGTACTTACCAAATCTAGCTCCATCTGAACCTATTTATCATAATTTCATTACGAAATTCTGACTATAATTTCATGATTCTGTGATTCCTGCTTGTCCACCAGAACATCAAAGTGATTCATCACAAGATACCTGCGTTGATCAATGTAAAACAAGTAATGGCGAACAGAGTACTGATACATCAGATAAGAAGGGTCCAAAACCCTCTGAAGATCCATCAAACGTGACATCTCAAGAACAACCACCTCCTGTAGCGGCTGCGTCGATACCCGCCACGAATGACCAACCCACGAACACTACATCCAGTGCTAACAACGGTATTTTTCAATTCAAACTCTCTTATTCATCTCTAACTTCTTCACGAGATTCTGAGTATATATCTATGATTTTTTTTTGTTCCTCAGACTCGAAAAGTGACGGAGCTAGTAAAATTGAAGACACATCTCCTGGCTCCTTGCAAAATCAAAGTGGTAAGAGAATGAATTGTTTGAAGTTCTTCAATACCAAACATATCTAGTCTCCTACTAAGACTGATCCGCCCATGTCTTTTCAATTTCACTTTCATACCGTACCTCTCGTCCATCCGTTGCAATTCAATCCTCTGACCTAACCTCACCAGGCGAAAGTCCCTCGGTAAGATCAAACACGACGTCGGATACTAAAACTATACAAGAAACCGCTCAGGAGAACACGGGCAACAAATCTATCTCAAATGGAACTGAGGTTTCCAAACCACCAACAACAGCTCCAGATGCGGCAATCCAAAATGCAACTAGCCAAGCCGGGACAAACAACACAGACACAGAAAAACAAGTTCCCTCGACTGATATTGATGGTTCTGGAACCCCGCCACAAGGCTCAAGTAAGAAATCCAAGTCTTTTAGACCAACCGAAAACAAAGAAGAAACAGAGAAACATGATATGCCAAATGAAAGTGATATCACCAAAACGTCACCGCCCGCCAAGGATGCTGAACAAGTCGTCGAAAGCAAAAATGCGGACGATGTGACTTCTACGAATGATAATGGCGTTCCAGAAAGCCCACCAGTTTCCGATACAATAACCAACAATGGTACTACAGAAGGACCAAAAGAGAGTAGCACAAGCCAAAATATCCCCCCGACAAGCGATGTCATTCTAGATGTCATTCTAGAAAGGCCACCCCAAGTTTCCGATACAGAAACAACTGATGAATCTGTGCAAGGGACAGATGAGAATAATTCAGGGAACAATGCTTCCTCGACTGGCGATGTTGTTCCCGAGCCCCCGTCACAAGTTTCGGATCCATCGTCTAGTGCTAGAGCTTCGCAGTTCACCAGGACCAGTATTTCGAATGAAAGCGTCGTTAGAGTTCCTGAGACCCCATCGGAACAGAAAGAGATCAATAATAGTGAAGTTCCAGAGGGGCCCTCAAAAGTGATAGATGCGAACTCGAACGCCGAAACTGAACAATCAAACGATACAAACATAGAAGAGAATAATAATTCAGGCACTGATTCAACTGATCAAGAGGCTTCCCAACAACCTTCTCGAGCTTTGGATAAGAGCACCACTGCTAGCCCTGAAAAATCCATAGAGTCAAAGACGGAAGAGAACAAGAATGACTCGACTGGCAGTCAAGATTCCGAACAATCTTCGCAAGTTGCAAATACAACAACTACCGCTACTTCCGAAGAATCCGCTGACGGAAAGTCCGAAGCAAACAAGGCGAGTTCCACTGATCAAGAGGTGTCTCAACAAACTTCCCCGGATTTGAACACAACAGCCACCACCACCACTAGCCCTGAAAATTCCGATGATGAGAAGAGCGGGAAAAACAAGGCTATTTCAACTGACCAGGAGCACGTAGAACAATCTTCACAATCTTCTAATACTACATCCGACGCTAAACCAGAACCATCTGCAGAAGAAAAGACCGAAGAAAATCAAACTACTTCAACTGATCATGAGGTTTCCGAACAAACTTCGCCAGTTTCAAATACGGCAACCGAGGCCAAACCTGAAGAGGTTGCTGAAGAAATAACAAAAGAGGATCAGACAAATTCGACGGACCTTCCAGAGATTGCGAACCCAAACAATTCATCTTCTCCTTCTTCAACAAATGAATCTGCATCCGTAGAAACGGACGTCGAACTAGACGATGTCGATGAAGCTAATGAGACCATCAATTCTACTTCTGTCTCATCTGACGAAGGTAAGTCAAAAATCAAATTTTTGAGTTTTTTCTGACTCCAAAACTGACTCAAATGTCTTTTCTTCCTCTGAATTTTTTTTACTCGCAATTTTCGTTAACTCGCTCACATTATCAATTTAGAACGTTCTGATGATTTGGTACCTACCCTAGTTGAAATTGATTTAGATAAAGTGGATCATAATGAAACACATTTGTTTGTCTAAAAATCACTTTTCTGCATTTAGTAACTCTATATATAAGAAGGTCTCTATACCCTTTTTGCAAAAAGCAACCTTGTGTTTTCGTATATGGGTTCATCAATTAAACCTTTATATCATTTGATTTATTTTCAACTTTTCTTAGCCATCTTAAATTTACCCCTTGATTTTCTATCCATGACAAAAAGAATTACAATATATATGTATGTTATATTATATCTATATAAATGACCTATTGTAAATCACTCGATCTGTTCAACCTTTGATTGACTTAAGAAACAAATGGAGTCAAGAGGTACAGATTTTGATTTCACCTAATATGGTTTAGATCAGTACTTCATCATTTGGTGTCTGAATGGAAGCATGTATTTCAAAAGGCATTCCAAAAAAATGAATCTTGTGAAATTTCAAGTGAGGTTCTTTTTTCATAGGATCCTTCAATTCAACACTGGAAAAATATTCATTAAGGTTTATGAATGAATCAATGTAACACAGCCCACACAACTCACTCAGTCAGTCTCAACCTTCAGCTGACAAGTTTTCAACAGCTACATATACTCCCATAGCTACTCAGGCAATACTCTGGAATCCAATTGACAGTAACAGAAAGGGTGTTACATGAATTTTAGTTAATGGAATCACACCCAAACTATGAGTCAATGTATGTAGTCAATTTTTGGAATGCTTTTGTCAAACGGAAAAAAATTACAGCAGATATTACATATTACTCATCCAGATGAGCCAAGAGCTGAGCAGCTCTGTATGTAAATTATGGATCCCAAATTACCCATCCTGTTTCACACATGGAATCAGAAGTTCCCAACCAGAGGTAGGCACAAGTTGATTAAACTGGATGGTATACTTGGCCACTGAATTTGTTTGCTTCAAGGCCCGTAAAGTCTTTTCCACACATTGCTTTCTATCAGAGTCAAAGAATTCCACTGCAAATGTTTCAGAGAGCTCTTGGAAGGTGAGTGATTTGCTGTTATTGGACCCTAAGGCTTGCTGGAGCAAAGGTTGGGATCATTGAATAGCATCATCTCCTAAATACAACAGGGCAAACATCACTTTTGTCACATTGCTTGTGAGCAAGCTGGCATTGACTGTGATTTTGAGTCCAACTTGGCTTGCGTACACCTCAGTGGAAGCTCCTCTTGTGCCCATGAAACACTCTGGACGGGCAACCTGGATTTGGGTATTGCCAACTGGTGCTGATCAGTTGTGGGCTATTTGCTTCCAAGGCTGTAAAGTGTGCCTCAGCAACTCGGCGGAGGGCAGTTTCCTTTTTGAGTCGGGCATCAAGATCTTCCAACTGGTTTGCTAGGCATTGGAAGGCTTCTCCGGAGGACATCAGTGCATATGATGGTCCGTCTTCTGCTTTGTCGTGCCAAGCTTTGCCCTCCAGCAACGTGCTATCTTCTGGTGGTTGGAAGGACGGTGTGGTGGTGATAGAGACAGGCAAGTGGTTTGGTAATGGTTGTATTCTTTTTCAGCTTGACTACTTAATTAATATAATACTGTGACTTCAACTTCTTTGTAAATTTCACTTTGTTGATTTTTTGAATTGTTTGCTTTTTTTTCTTGATTTTTTTCCAACTTCTTCTTCTTCTTTTGTGATCAATTAATTCCTTTCCTCACTCTGTCTTGTAAAAAATGCTACAATGTGTTATGACCAGGGTCTGGGGTCTTTGTGTGAGAGACACAGGGAGGTGAGAGACTGATGATGATCACTAGGTGATATACACAGCGTCCATTTTACTATGGCACGTCGAAGTGCACACACGGAGAGGTTTGGAAAAAAAATGAAAAAAGTTTCATGTAGTTTCTTTATCAGACTTTGGTGAAATTCCAGCACCCCTCTAATCTCAAGAAAGGATATCAGACTTCCTATGTCTAACGGTCTCACCACCTGAGGAACTCAAGAAGGGTTGTCTATGCATGGTGCTAAAGATCATTTGAAGCTCGTATCCACTCTATACGAGATATCTTTTGTGTGAGCACGTCGGCTTGACACTTGAGTTTTTACACTGTGATAAGGTTATTGTAGCATGAAGAGCAAATCCTGGATGTGCTGTGGTTTGGTACAAGTGCAGCTCAGACTCCCTAGGTGTCACTGATGTGTGACATACCTGTGATCCTACATTAGGGATCATAACAACTGAGCACAAAGCACTTATGTACCCACAAGTTTGGTCATCCCAAGCCAATTTGAACCTCTCTAGAGTGGGTAATTGTGCTTTGATGAGACTCACTGTCCCTCAAGAAGATAAGATATACAAGCCCCTCAAATACTTGAAATCTCACCAACATCATTAACCCAACCTTAAAGAAATGGCCAACACACCATCCAATAGTTCTTGTTCAACTTATCCTCTACAAATCATACAAGAATGTCCCTCAAACTCATTCTAGTAATGACCTAAATCACAAATCACAACTTATATATCTTCTCAAAACCTAAAAGGTTTTTTCTACACTCTTAAAGTGATCACATAATATTCATCAATTTGAGTTTCATCCATGATGATCTTTTTAAACTGTTTATTTATTTAAGACTCTTATGACTTCTTTCACAAGTACACTCTCATAGTCTTGCACCTTGATACATAAGTAGAGTTTCTTTGTTTTCTAGGTTTGCTTGTATGGTTTTTTTTTCTTCATAGGCATGCTCTTATAACTCATGTGAACAAGAAATCCAAGTCAATATATTATCCCCTTTCCATCTCCAATTTGACCCTACTATTGACCCTGTCCTTGCCTGGCCCACACAGCCAGAGATTTCAGAGTATACCCTGGTAAGCCTTGTGCATTTTTTGACCACAAGCCATATTCCCAACAAAATCCAAAGCCTCTCTATAAAGTGTCCTTCCCAATCCCACAGATGCTTATTGATTTAGAGAGCTTTGAATACCTATCTCTCAGAAAAAATCCAAATATTTTGTTCTTATCAAAAGTTAGAAGATCGTGATCCAAACTATGGTAACAAGAAGCATGAAATCACTGACCAGGTAATTTGTATTGCCATCACCCTTATAAAGGTTAAAAAAAACAGACGTTTGAAATCTGTTCCGTTGATGATAATTTTCAATAGCTCTCAAACAAGTCAACCTCAAAACTATCTCAATTTGTTATTTATAAATGATTTTCTCAACAAGTAGAACAATTTTTGAAGCAATACCTATTACACCTAACTGGTCTCCACACTGTATATGTACAAACACACACCGAAAGTAATCAAACAATGATACTTTACAAATCCCTCACCAAAGGCACCAAAGAAGATCTTATAGAAAGATCAAAAAGAGCCCATTAAAGAATTCAAATCAAGTGCCCATTACAAAAATCACCTTTCAAAAGTTCATCTTAAATCAATTTCAAGTCCCACTCACTAGTATCACTAAACCCAAAACCAATCATTCTCTATAAACCCTTGCTTTTAATTTTTTTTTTGGCCATCATATAATTATCAATAGAAAAAAAAGAATCAAAATCACCAAAAAAAAATTGTTAAAAAGATATCATCAAATCAAACCACTTGAAAAAAAAACAATCTTAAAACCATCAAAACCGAAATCATTTTGATTAAAAATCTTAAAAATAAACCGCCGAAACATCTCCTACACCAAATCCCACACTACAAGTTGGACATTTCCTTTGTCTAGTCTCGATTCTAGAATCCAAACATTTCCCACAAAACAAATGCATACATCTCGTAATCACATGTGACTTAAACCTTTGTTTACAAGAGTTACACTTTAACATTTTCTATATTCATCAAAACCGAGAGAAAAAAGCCAAAAAGCTCAGCAATCTTACCCATCAATTGATTCCCTCAAAAAAAATCCAAAAAACTTACCGTTAAATCATCATTAAAACTTTTCAATTCTTCAATCTCTACATTACTACTTTCTCCCATCCCAACCGTTCCACTCATCCCATTCCTACTCTTCATCTTACTCAATTCTCTTTCTAATCCAATCAAATTCTCTTCTGCTTTCCTTCTAGAAGCCGCTTCTTCTTCTACTTGTGCCGTTCTTTCTCTCAAAAGGTTCATCACATCATTCATCTTAGTATCATGTAATGCTGCTCGGTTTGATAAATCTTCATTCTCAATCGAAAGTTCAGAAATCTTGGTCTTATGTGAGCTTAAGACTTTCTGATGAATCGTAATCTCCTTTTCGGCTGAAGTCTATTATAACAAAAGCAAAGTAGCTCGATTCAGTGTTGGTCTCAAAATCTGGTCAGGCAGATTAAACTGACCAGTCGACTAGAGATCGCCCTCAGCTCATCATTCAGTTTCGAGATTGTTGTAGTCTGTTTCTCTGCCATCTTCTCCAATACTGCGCTTTGCGTTTTCAACGTTTCATTTGCTCTCATCGCGCTAAAATATCGATTATCGGCTTTTGCTTTCTGATTTCATCCAACCAAATCATCAACACGTGACATCCTCACAAAAAGCATACAATCAAGTCACAAATGTTTGACTGACCTCATGGACCGCCTTCAAGACTTTTTCGTCATGTTCAGCCAACTTGAATACTTTGTCTCGATTTTGTTCATCCAAAGCAGCCCAAGCATTTGAAAGTCGGTCCACTTCGGTATATAGCATGGTAGCCGCCTGTATACCTCACAAACATCAATTGCTCATCCGACCGGCTTAGTCATGTCAAGATAACACTTACCGACTCCTGGGCAGCAAGTTGGACTTTCAAGATCTTTTGAGCTTCAAGTGATGAATCTAGACTTTCAACTTCATCCAATCGTTTTTGCATCAAAGACACTTCAGCTCGAGCCTCTGCTTCTGATTGTATGAGTTTCATCGGGTCCTCGATTCCTGACAAGTCTTGCGTAAATTTTTCCAGTTGAGACTTTAAATTTTCAATGACTTCTTCTGCTTTCCTAAGATGACGAGGACCAGGGGAAAGACTATGAGCGCCAACTCGTATTTATGATGTTGTGAATCGAATGTGATGCTTACTTGAGTCGCGCCTGCAGACTTTTGGCTAATTCGATTTCTTCATTAGTCGCCAGGTAGTCGACACTGTCCTTATCCCCCACATCAGCTGCAAGTCGCATCTTGAGCCTCCTAACTTCAGAAGCCAAAGCACTGATGCGATCCTGACGACTGTTGGCGAGCGTACGGATCTGTGCGACTTGTTTCATCTTCTCAGCGTCTCTAGACTTTAATTCGTGTAGTTCTGATCGTGCTTCTTCTCTTGTGGCTCGGATTCGTGTAACATCCGCATCTCGGCTTGATAATTTCTTCTCCAAGTCCTCAATGCGACTCGTCATCTCAGTCTGATGATGAAAACAAAGAAAGATGATATAGTTGTCAGCGAGCAGTGAGGACGTCTCGATCAACTAATGTGAAACTGACCGAGATCGCCGCTCCAAAGTCATTTTGACGTTCTCTGAACTCATCAGCTTCCTTTTGGGCGGTCTCCAGCAAGGTTCGCGTACGCTCAAGTTCGATCGTCGCGTGTGACATTTCAGTTTTGAGGCGTTTATAAGCTGGAGACTCGTGTACAACGTCATCCGGGAGGTTGAGGATCTGTAAGAGTCCAAGTTGGAGAGATCAGTTGCTGATGAAGCAAATGACAGATTGAATCCCATCAATATGACATACCTTCCATTGTAGCATATCAATCTCATGAGCACGATGCAGTAACTCTTCCTTGAGCATCTCCAATTCTCGTGTCCTTACATCCTCAATCTCTCTGATGGTATCAATGTCCATTGAATCAGTACCATTTGTGATGGGTGGCGGGGGATGGTCTGAAGCAGCAGATCTAGCTCCGTTTGAGTGACTATCGCCATTCGTCTTCGGTACTTCTTCAGACAATGGTTCCGGTTGAACTACGCTATGAGAAGTAGAACCACCCTGTCCCTGTGCATCTAATTCACGAACGGTACGACTACGTTCACGATCCAACTTCTTCTCGGCACGTCGAGCAGCCTCTTCAGTGACTTCAAGCTGGTCTTGAAGTTGTTTCAACTTGCTCTCGGCCAAACTCAATGCAGCCCGACTAGTAGCAGACTCTTGAGTAAGTCGACGACATCGAGAACGGACTTCCTCGAGATCAGGGGAGATGACAGAAGAAGAGGAAGCCAGAGAGATGAGATGGACAATAAGGTCTTTTGAGGCAGTGGAACGTTGTTGGATGGCACGATCGAGACTGGTGGGTGATGAAGGGAGTGACGAAAGGATTGAGCCAGAAGACGAATCGACAGCAGGATCGATATCCTTGAAGAGAATCCGGACGTCTTCTACCAACTTGAGAAAAAGTGTGAATGGTTGATCAGGATCGATGGGATAGGATTGGTGAGGGTGAATTGTGTTGAGAAGACAGACAGAAATGCGTACCTGGTTCCAACACACATCCACAGCCGCCAATCTAGCTTCGGCATCATTCTTTTGGTCTTCAGATTGTTCCAGTTTCGCCTGGGCACGTCTGAGATCGCGCTTGTATTCCTGTAGCTGTCTCCAAAGAGCTTCCTTACGAAAGTTCTGTTGTTTCAAAGTGATGAGAAGAGATAGTAACAGCGAGGGTGGAGAATGGAATAGGGAAACGGAACGATTGAGGAGAAGTAGAGCATGGAGAGTTTGAGAGAGGTGATGAAGGTTGAAGAAGAAGAAGAGATGGTATGGTAAGTGATATGTCGAGTTTGATTGAGAATGAAAGATGTAGAGATCGAGATGGATGAGAGGTGCGGGATGAATGGATGAAGAGAGAAAGGTAAACAAAGCATTAAGAGATTGTCAAGAAGAGAAGATGGTGACGAACGAATCTAAGAGGGTGTGTAATAATGACAAACCTCTAATCTTTCATCATCACCAATGAGCCCGTTTTGAAGTTGAAGAGTTGAATCGGATTGATCGATCGATCGATCAAGATTGATAGAAGAGATGGAAGGATCGGTAGTTGAGCTTGTAGTAGGATTGGCGACTAGCATTGGTTTCTTTCTTGAGGTAGGACCAGTTAAACCGACTGAGCTCTCGATTCTTCGTTTTCTTTGATCCTCCATCATATTTGATTATCAAACTTGAATTTGAAACCGATTTGTTAGAATCAATCTTATAGAGAAAGACAGTGAGAAAGATGATGATAGAAAGAGTAACTTTAAGGGATGTAAGTGTTTTAATAAGATGATAATGATTGATCGATTGTAGATAATGTAGGATGATGATGATGATGATGAGAAGTGATTAAAGAAGATGAGAAAGATTAGTAAAGTAAGTAAAGTGATTAGTTAGTTAGTTGGTTTGAAGGGTCCGTTTGAATCAGTGAAGTTCATGAAGTTGATAAAAGTAGAGAATTGCTTGGATTCGAATGAACAGAAAACCATTGAAGCTCAACTCTTAAGAAATTTAGTTAAGTATCTCATATCGATCAAAGAGACTTACATTCAGATTAAACATTAAATCGATCATCTTAAGCCTTCTTAAGCTACCTTAACAGTCAAGAACAATTTAACTAATCTCAAGTCAAAAACCATCACCCAATCAAAACCACTCAAACTCAAACTCTGAAATGGTTCTAAAAACTTTCTTGGAAACCAAAAATAATTTCATTCATTCATTTTGAAGTACAGATCATCATGTTTCTTCACACAAATATAAACAAATTGCACTCTATCTTAACATGATATCAATTTCAATCTTTATAAAGAAAACTAAACACAAGATGTAAAAAGATCAAACTCATGGAAATAGATTCTGGATTTTTGGATTCTTGGATTCTTGATTTCTTGGATTCTTGGATTCTTGATTTTTTGATGAATGATGAATGATGAAATGATGATCGGATTAATGAGTTCTAACCAAAACAAATTTAATTGGTAAATCATTCCATTTCTCCTGAACTTCTTCAATCAAGACTTCTTTCCTAGGATCTCTTTGAGAATCTTTCAAAGGTAAACTTCTCAAAACCCTTAAGATCACTTCTTTCTGACTAACCAAAACCTTTTCAAAATAATCGATTTGTTCATCCGACGTTCCATCTTCAAAATCATAAAATACATCTAAATCATCAGTTTGAATGGCTCCTGCTCGCTTCCTTAATCTTTGAATTCGATTCATCATCTCTCTTGCAAATCCTTCGTATTCTAATAATAATGAAATCTCACAATCTAGTAACACTACCACTTCTTCATCTGTATTCGATTCATATCTTTCTCCTAATCGATTGTCTTCTACATATCTAGAAACCATTAATTCCGATTCGATCACTTCGATCCCTCCAATGCTAATTCGAGAGGATTTCATATAGTCTTTCATCATTTCAGATGTCACAGATGGTAATCCTTTCTTAACCAAGGCGATCTCTTTCTTTAATCGTTTACCTAGTTTCGTCCAATCAACTGCTGCTTTATATTTCACTCCACATAACTCTTCATCTGAACTATAGGTAATCTGATGTAAGTTTAATTCATCCTTCACATAATTCTCCAACATCTTCACATCTTCTAAATATTCATTCTCATTATGGAAAATCACTAATTCTTTCAATGGTGTCTATCTCATCAGAAAGAAATCAAACAAACCCATCAGTCTTTCAAAACTTCATCGGCTTGTTTGAGCATCACAAACTTACCTTTAATGAAATCGTCTTTCTTTCTCGAATCGTTCTACCTAAATTAATCACAGCTTGCATTCTTTTCATCCTTCTAACAATCACCGAATCAAAAAACTCTTCTCGAACTAATGGAAATGATAAGAAATGAATCGATCTTAAATCGTTTCCTTCTGATTTTAAACTTTGAATCATTTCGTTCGGAAAAAACCTTCGTAATCCTTGATAAATGTTTTCAGTTAAGAAGGGTGTAAATGATGACTATTTTTTTAGAAACACACACAAATAAATCAGTTCGATCGGTTCAAGTTCTTGGCTTGGTTGTGGGTCTATTATGATGAAATTGAAATCCTACTTACTAATGTTCTACAAAGTGTAAAAAGGGTTTCGAATAAAGTATTAAGAGCCACCACTGCATCTTCTGCTCCATTTTCTCCTTTAAGTCTACGACGATTAAATCGAATATACCAATTAGTTAATTCATCCACCAAATCCAACATCTGTGGTACAACAGTATACAATCTATAAGCTATATACCCCACACCCCCGTCCAAGCAAAAAATCTCATCAGTTTCAATTTCCAAGCTTTTCAATAAAACAAAACACGTTCAAGAACAATTTACCTTCCATTTCAGTTCGAACAGATTTAATTAAAGCTTGACATCTAGCCAAAACCCAACGATCCATTACGTTTTCAGAAAGTTTAGCTTGATGATCATAAACAAAATCGATTTTGGACACCTTTTTTAATAATGAAACTTGACCTAAGAAGAATCGATATGAATTCAACCAAGGTAACATGACTCTTCCGACCACTTCTTTCACTCCAGTTTCTCTAAACCTTAAATTCTCGCCTCGTACGACGGGTGAATTGATTAAGAAAAGTCTAGAGAATTAAAATAAGATATATTTGAAAGAAAAAAATCAAAGAATCCTTTGAGTGTGTTGGTTTTAAGTGTGTTTTGGTTTCTTGGGATGAAGAATTTACCTTAAGGGATCTGCACCATGTTGGTTAATGATCAAATCTGGGTTCGGATAATTTTTTAAACTTTTACTCATTTTCTTTCCATCTCTATAAAATACTTGTACATATATCAATCTCAATTCCTTTTTAAATATTCAGTAAGAAAAAGTTACTCAACTCAGCCAATACAAGTCCACAAACAACTAAATTCTGCCAAGGAGCTTTTTGAAAAAGATGAGTAGATAAAACCAAGAGTGTATAGAACCTAAATCCCACCAAAGATAATTTTTTTTTGATTAGAAATCATTCAAGTTTTTCTTCAAGGAGGGTTTGAGGTGACTTACCAACCACGAGTTTGATCCATACCCTCAGCAATAAATTGAGCAGGAAAAGCCGATTCAAACGTTTCTTTATTCTCAAACGGATAATGTACTTGAGCATAAGGCATACTAAAACGATTTGAACAACAAACCACCCATTCAAATTCAAATTCAAATTCAAATTCAAATTCGACTTTTGTATAAATCACAAACAGATTCGAATGAACTACTTACCTTCCAGATTCGAACCAACAATCAAAGACTTCATCTACCCGTTTCAAGAATCCTTTACCTTTCTTTGAAGGAATCAAAATCTTATCAATCGTTTCTCGATGTAAATCTTTTAACCTTCCACATCCCGTCAATTTGTCTAATTCTTCAATCGATCCTACACAAATTTGCTAATCATCACCGAATCAAAATTCCAACCGCCCCCAAAAAAATCATAATAGACAAGTTGAATTTGTGTGATTCATGATCGATAGGAATTTGAAAAGAAAACTTACTTCTTCATAATCATCACTAACCCAAATCGGTAATGGTGTACCCCAATACCTATTCCTAGAAATATTCCAATCTCGTGCATTAGCTAACCAACTTTGAAATCGATTTTCTCCAACAGATGCTGGAACCCTATATGTTCAAGAACACAGCATTTTAAGTTTTTGGATAATTGTTTTGTTTTGTACGAAATTTAAAGAGACGTACCATCTAGTTTTCTTATTGTTTTCTACTAATTGATCAACTATTGGTTGGACTCTTACAAACCAGGCTGGGATGGCTCGGTAAATTAATGGTGTTCCTGATCTGATCAAATCAAAAATCAATGGGATTTGTCCGATTTCTCTATTAGATCGAAGATGATTCATGTCAAGATAAATGAGGTCTTTACGTACCTCCAACAAAATGGATAAGAATGTTTGATTTGACTTTGAACAATTACTCTTCCTTTGTTTTTAAGGTATTTAGTAATATGAGGATCTGCTTCCTATGATCCGAGATCAATTCCCAAAAATGAAGAAAGTTTCAAGGATGAGTGAGATTAGATCAAGGATTTGTAGAAAAGAACGGATTTACCTTGACATGTTGACCTTCGAATTCAGGTACTTCACTTGTAAATCGACCACTATCATCAAGTGGACAAGGAGGAATCGAATCGACAGGTACGACTCCATGACGTTTACAAACTTCATGATCTTCTGCACCAAAGGCTGGAGCTTGATGAACGATCCCAGTACCTGAATCTGATGTAACATAGGTATCGGTGACGACTTTAAAACCGGTTTGTTGATAAGCTTGATAAAAATAAGGAAACAATGGTTCATATTTCCATCCTTCAAGTTCTGAACCTAAATAAGTGGCTACTTTTTTGAATTTAGCTTTTTTAGGATCTTTATAAAGTGTGCTTAATAACTTATCACAAATGATGAAATGTTTTTGATGAGTTTCGTCAAAGATTTTGAGATAAGTGAGTTTCGGATGAACACAGAGTGCTAAGTTAGATGGTAAAGTCCAAGGAGTCGTTGTCCAAGCCAATAAACAAGTATTCGGATCATCCAGTAATGGGAAAGACACCGTCACGGCTGGATCATTCACATCACGATAATCACTTCCGGCTTCAAAGTTAGAAAGAGGTGTAGTACAAGAAGTCGAATAAGGCATCACCCTACTAGCTCTATAAACCTGACCTTTTGACCAAAGTTGTTGAAATACCCACCAAATACTTTCCATAAAATCTACATTTAACGTTTTATAATCATTATCAAAATCAATCCATCTTCCCATTCTTTCAATCGTTGATCTCCATTCTGATGAATATCTCATGACAATCGATCTACATTCTGCATTATAAGCTTCGATTCCGATTCTCATCACATCATCTTTAGATTTGATTTGTAATTTTTTATCAATTTCATGTTCGACAGGTAATCCATGACAATCCCAACCGAATCTTCGTTCAACATAATGACCATCAGCATGAGCAAATCGAGTGACGATATCCTACGACCAAAAAGGGTAGAAGAGTTGAATTAGTCTGATCATTAAACAACAGTTTTCAAAGAGGATGAAACTAACTTTAACAGTACCCATTAAGAGATGACCATAATGAGGTAAACCAGTAGCAAAAGGAGGACCATCATAAAAATTCCATCGAGTACGAAGTCCAGCATCTAATTCAAGTTTAGATTGAGCCAATGAAGTTTTAAATGCATCAATCGATTTCCAATATTGTAATACTTTTTCTTCTTCTAATGGAAAACTAAATGGTGCATTCGGATCGTGGGTTGGGAATGTGATGTCTTCAGTTTTGGTGGTCATATTGATTTCTTTTGTTTCTTTCTCTTTTTGGTTGGGTGGTATCGGTGTTCTGAGTCCTCTAGGTTGGAATTTGATTTTGTTGATTCCGTGTTTTGATGGATTTCGTTGAATGTCATGAGAGATGTCAGCATCAAGTGACATCTAGCATTACAGGTGTGTTTGTACACATATGTGTTGTGTAACAGTTGAAACCACAATTTAACCGATTTGGAATATTTTGTCGAATTGAAATCCAGTTAAACCTCAAACTGCTTCGTTCAATTCAATCCAACTATCTACCTTTCACCTCATTCACATATATCCAAATCAACTCACCATGTCCTACGGAGCAGTCTTGTAAGTGATTCCTGTTCCATCCCTAGTTTGCCTAAGCCCTAATTCTAACTCAACACTCTTTGGATGATCACCAAAACAGTTCAGCAGTTGTTAAACCAGGAAACGGTCTTCTCTATGACTGTGAAGAATTAACCCATGTGACCAACATAGCTTTAGTAGTCAAGAACGCTCAAGCATTATCTAAACCATTCCTAACGGTTTTAAAACTTCAATATGAAGGACCAGTTATTGAAGGTGAATTAGATGTTGAAGCGGAAAAGAAAGCTTTGGAAGATGAATTAAAGAAGCAAAATGAAAAGAAAGACAAAAAGAAATCTGCTAAGAAGCTTGAGGAAGATGATGATGATGAGGATGATGATTATAGTGATTATGAAGTTGAAGCTAAAGAAGTCGTGGTAGCTTCTTTTACTCAAAGTGTAAGTTTTCTTTTTCTCCTTTATTTTTTGTGATTCGATCTTCATTGATTTATGTTATGAATTTTTTCCTTAGCTTTTACAATTGTCGACCAACATTCACCTTCATCCTGGAGAACAATATCGATTCGTCTTGAGCGGTTCAGATGCCGAGGTTCATCTTTTAGGATCTTATGTTCACGCTGATGATGCCGATCTATCGCCTTACGGCTCAGAAGGCGACAGCGATGAAGACTCTGATATGGGTTCGTACTGGCTTTTTCTTAACTTATCTGTCTATCATCTCCAGACTTGAAATTTATCTCCTTTATTTTTTTGGACAGATGACTTCGATCTTGATCACCTCGAGGACTCCGATGAAGAGTCATCAGCTGGTCGAATTGAAGAAATAGAAGACGAACCAGCAGTGACTAAGAAATCAGAGAAACCAGCATCTAAGAAACGGGCCATTGAAGATACCGAAAATGTAGATGTTTCAATGGGAGATATTTCAATGGGTGGATCTGAAATCGATACATCCAACTTATCCAAAAACCAAAAAAAGAAATTAGCCAAAAAATTAAAAGCAGCAGACGGAACCAGTGTACCCACCAAAACTGAGAATACCCCACAAAAAGAAAAGAATGAAAAGAAACCAGCCAACGAATCGGCTAAGAAATCATCTGAAGCTGGATCTGCCAAAAAACCTAGTAAACCTGAATCGACTAAAACGATCACGACTTCATCTGGTTTGAAAATCATTGATGCTAAAGTGGGTGAAGGAGCTGAAGCTAAAGCCGGTCAAACGGTTTCCATGAGATATATTGGTAAATTAGATAATGGTAAAGTCTTTGATTCGAATACTAGAGGTGAAGCTTTTAGATTCAAACTTGGAAAAGGTGAAGTTATCAAAGGTTGGGATGAAGGTATTAAGGGTATGAAGATTGGAGGTGAAAGGAAATTGATTATTCCTTCTGGTCTTGGTAAGTTTATTTTTTTCTTTGTTTGTTTGTTTGTCTTGGATTTCTTATTCGAACGAATCATTGATTGAGTCTGGTTTTGTTTTCTGATGAATTTTGTAGCTTATGGTAAACGAGGATCACCACCTGAAATCCCAGCTAATGCTACTTTAACTTTCGAAGTTAAACTCTTGAGCATCAAATAGAATCTTTTTCGTTTCTATCGTTCTTGTTGTCTTTCTTTCTTTCTTTGTCATGGATCCGTGAAAAATAAACTACACTATATGAATACTATATCTTGAAAACAGAAATTCTTCTTCTTTCTCCTTCTTGGGTTTGGTTTACGTTCTCTTGGATCAAGTCAATCGGGTTTGAAAGAAGAGATCAAGGATGAGTGTGAGAGGGTTGAGATGCCTTATATGTAATGGCGTTCTCGTATTCTAGACAAATCGATTGGGTGTATCAATCAACCAAACACATGCACAGTTTGGTATAACATCAACGGTTCTTACCCTGGGCAGCCTTTAATTGTAAGATGACTGTATCAGCTTCAATAAACCTATCAATGACCTCAAGATCCAAAATCTGTCATCACGTGATAACTCTTCATGCAATAGACTCTTTCCTTGTTTCAAAGTCTCTTGCCATAGATCATAGATCTCAGAACGGATATCAGACATGAGTTTATGTTCGATTGGTTGTCCTAATACAATGTAGTTGGCAAATTTTTGACATGAAGCTTCACGTCATCATGATAACCAAGGTTCCTAAACACCCCCATGTGATTCTTGGTTAATAAGGGGTTTCAAGTTCGAATTTTTTATACGTTTTTTTAAAAATTCGGTCAAGTTTTATACAACGCCATAAGATTTTAAACTTGACCGTTTGTAAAAATCCAGCACGCTGGATAATTGAGGTCGTAAAAGAAACTTGACCGTTTCGATACCCAAGCTTTGAATAACTCAACCTTGGAATAAAGTGCTCGGTGCTGAGGTTCTCTTGGAAATCCAAGAAACCCTTTCTCCTCATGTAAAGGCAGGTAAAGAAGAGAGGAAAAAGTTGACCAAATAATTTTTATAAGTGTATGTTTACGCTAAATAGGGCGGTTCAAGTAGCCCTTTTACAGCCCTTTTTTAAGTTTTACATTTAGTTCGGGGGCTTTAAATTTTAAGTAAAATTTAAAGTTGGTGAACCACCTTTAGAGGTGGTTCACCATTTTGCGATCTGCTTAGTTGTCTTAAAATTTATAATTCTCTGGCGTGGCATCGTAAAAAAATCCGGTGCGAAGGACCAAAAAAAACCTTTTTTTTCTTTGGTTTTTTTTTCGGTGTTCCACTCGTGGTGCGTCAAACGCGTATTTTCATTAAAACAAATTGATGAAAAAAAAAAATCCTGACAAAAACAAGAGACAATTAAAAAAGCAAGGAAAAAAAGGCGCATTCGCAGACGGTGTACCTGAAAAGGTAAAGCCATAAAACCTAATTATAAGTGCGTTCGCAGAGTCGCGATCAGGAATTTTAAGGATCGGACAACCCTAAAAAGACTGATCGCGACTCTGCAAACAGGTGGATCGCAACTATTGACTTGAACCGCCCTAATATAAAACGGGAGACGTAAAAAGGTCGACCGTTTTAAAAATATTTTACATAAAATTTACAACTTTGTCCAAGTTTTTAAAACGTAAAATCACGTAAAAAATCAAACTTGAAACCCCTTATTTCTAGTTTTTTACATGGCTTGTGAATGATCTTGCAAAGATGATTTTTAAGTCTGTTCTAAACCCAATCGCTGTTCTTGGTGAAGGTTTAGTATTTATTTCGTAAAAATATATTGCCATTCCATCATCTTCAGAAGATGTGATTTGATTCATGAGTCCGTGATGAATAATCTCCTCATCCATTCCCAATACATGTAGCACGGTGAATGTAGGCAAAACTGGCCAGATCATAAATGGAGTTAGAGCACCCACTACGGTGGGAGTGTTTTATCGTAAAGTTTGCATTTTGATCATGTGTGTTTTACCAAAGTTGGTAACCACATGAAATCCACTATGGGATGATTTATTGTCTGCTTTCCCTAGTTCCTACAATAAATCAAGTCGTAGGCTTGCGTAAATCTGAGCACACAAAGTGCAAGACTTGACGCAGCCGCACGGACCGCATGTCTAAAACAGGTCCATAGTGGACCTGTTGGTATTTTAGCGTTAGGGTAACACTAAATCACTGAGTTAATGAACCATAGTGGGTGCTCTTACGTAACTTCATGTGTGGATTTTTGTGCGATAAAAAATGCCGACAACTTGGTACAAAAATCAAAGAGAGGGCAACATTAATCCACTACATATATTGTACCAAGATCATCACAAGAAAGTGTGTGATCTCTGGGTTTGAGGCAATTGTTTCAATGAAGATGAATATTGACATATCCCATTTCGGGACTTGTCACGTATGTACTTCAACATGGCAGTGTGTATGGTTGGTAGTGCCGAGAAGCGTTTGGACCAGCGGGTATTACTCTTCCAACTTGAGGCCAAGCAAGAAAACTCACTGAATTTGTGAGCCAAAGATACTGTTGGACTCCTGGCATTGATGGCAATCTAGATATGCCATTGGAAATTCAATATTTGAACTTCTTGTTTTACAGCCATTGTGAGAACTATTGGTAATTTTTGAGGTGATGGGTGTCACCAAGTTTTAACTAGAGTTTAATCTTTGGTCCAAAACTCAGTTTTTTTTTATCTCATAGGCCTAAAGCTTGTTTTGGCTCCTGCAATATGCTTCTATCTCACAGTACTCATGGTCAAAAAGGAGTTTTTTCTAGTTTTTGCTAGTTTTGAATTAATTCTCAACACAACACAAAATAAAAAAAAGTTACCATTAGTTCTCACAACGGCTGTAGTTGGTTTCTACAACATAACTAAATCTTGTCTTGAAGTGTAGTTTTTGAGAAATATCTGGTCCAAGATTTGACGCTTCTTGGCACTAGCAACCACCGTATTTGTGTGGTGTTTGCTTGTTGGCAAGCACACACAAGTTGCCTTTGTGCCTCAAAGGCAGTCTGTGTGCGCTTGTCCTCGAGAGACCGCCACACAGATACGGTGAACCATATCAAACTTAACAAAGTTCCTCGTGCCAAAGGGCTAAGAGCATCCACTATGGGTGCGTTAACAATGTGATTTAGTGTTACAATAACGCTAAAATCCAGACAGGTCCACTATGGACCTGTTTTAGACATGTGGTCCGTACGACCGTGTCAAGTCTTGCAGGCCGCTTGTTCAAATCTACAAAAGCCTACGACTTGATTTATTGTAAACTTTTGGCACATCAAAACAGTCAACAGCCATCCATCCAGCTCTACATCCAGTACTTCCACTTGACCACTACCCTCTGATCTCAAGATACTAACATATGAACAGTTGATCTACCCTCTGAACCCTCCAAATCATGTTGAGCTTGTTTTCTCAAAAAAAGCGAGCTTGCACAATTGATTTTACTCAAATTAAGCAAGGCTGTCTTGTTGCCCATACTCAAATATGAACCCTGCAGTTGACAGGCATCAATCTGCCTGGTCACAAGACACAGGGGGAAAAATAAAAGCTCACATAGATGTGAGCAGAGGGTACCTTCCTGATAACTCCAAAAATGTTTCAATTTCCTTCAGATTCTTTCAATTCACCATTTTGGTGGTTCCAAAGTGCTCAGCCTGTAATACTTAGGTATTGCTTGAGTTTGCTAAAGCATGCTCATCTTCATCTTGGATGAGCCTCTCTTGAGCATGGATCATCCATTGGATGAGTGCTCAGGACCCAGCTGACACATCACTGTATACTCAGAATCACCTTCAGAAGGATCCAAAGGATGTCACTGAGTACTAGCCAAGGGGCTGCGCAGCTAGTCCTCAGTGGCATACCTGGGATTGGAAGTATCCAAAGAATCTCACTCAGTATTGGCTGAGGGGATGCTCAGCTCAGCACAGCTGCTCAGCTAGTCTTCAGTGGTATTCCTGGGATCAGGAGGATCCAAAGGATCTCACTGAGTATTGGCTGAGGGGCTGCTCAGCTATTCCTCAATGGCGTTCCTGGGATTGGAAGTATCCAAAGGATGTCACTGAGTATTGGCTGAGGGGCTGCTCAGCTATTCCTCAATGGCGTTCCTGGGATTGGAAGTATCCAAAGGATGTCACTGAGTATTGGCTGAGGGGCTGCACAGTTCAACTCAGCTGCTCACCTACCGCTCAATCACATTTGGTCACTTGACTGTGCAGGCTGAGCATTGGAGGGCCCGAGATGACCTGAGAAGATGATCTCTCACCGCTCAATCACATTTGGTCACTTGACTGTGCAGGCTGAGCATTGGAGGGCCCGAGATGACCTGAGAAGATGAGCTAGCCCTCCCTCAGGCTTCTTGGTTGAGGGATAAAGCCTGAGGAAGGCCTAACTCATCTGCTCAGGACATGCGGACCATTTGAGCAGATGATGAGCTGAAAGAAAACTGGAGGAAAATCAGAAGAAATTTGGAAACAAGCTGGAAACAATCTTGGAGAAACCTCCAAACTTTCTCTGCTCACATCTATGTGAGCTTCTATTTTTCCCCCTGTGAGAGCAGTCATTGGTGAGGAATGAGTAGATGAGTTGGTTAAGATATGATATTTTGATTGGTGATTTTGCCACTGTGGAGTTAATCAAATTACCTTGACTTATCATTGGTAAACCAGATGGTAAATCAGCTCATAGTAGATTTCATGCGTTTACCATTTTAGTTGTTACACACATGATTACATTTCGCGCTCAGGAACACAAAACTTACGATAAAACACCGTCATGATAGTGGATGCTCTAAGAGCATCCACAATGGTCCACCTACTTTGCGCAGGGATGCAGGAATGAGTACCAAGTATGAGTATATACTCAACTGATACTCACTTTGTATGGGTTTACAGGGCCAAAAATAGGCAAAAATACTCAGTATGCTCAATAATACTCACTCTACTGAGTAAACTCATACTCACTCCTGCATCAGTCTTTGCGGGCCCCCAGCAATGTAGGGGGTCAAAACGCAAAAAAACACTCCAGCGGAGCTTGCACAATCGGGGGTGAGAAGTCGGGGGCCTCCAGATTTCCATCCGGACCCCCCAAATCTGCAAGGTCTACACCATGGGAGGACTTTTTGTCAGAAATTGGCCTGACATGGTCTGAGATTGGTCTGAGCAAAAAATGGCCGGTAGACCAACTGCGGGTTATCCACAGGAGGCCTGCAGTCGGCCATACTTCCGGCGTGCAGATGTGATTTTGGTCAGATCAAATATTGGCCTGAAGACCGGCTGTGCCCTTTCTACAGGCCGCCTGTAGATAGGCCGCTTTGAGCGCGCAGACGCCAGATGGCCAGGTTGCAAATTGGCCTGAAGACCGACTGCGGGCTATCCACAGGCGGCCTGCATTCAGTCGTTAATCGAGCCGCCGATCATGATGGCCCCCGGATCGCCGGAGAAAGGGCAAGCAGACCGCCAACAGTCGCAACAACGGTGGCACAGCTAAGCTAAGTTAGCGCTTAGTGGTGCATTAGCTTAGTGATTTTTTATTGCTAAGATAATGCTAAATCCTTAGCGCACTCAAGCTAAGCTAATCAAATTTTGATTTTTCCTTTAGCGGGTCTGCGCTAAGCTAAGCCGGAAGCTTAGCTATCAAAAAAACACGTTTCAAGTGCAAAAAAGGGCTGCTAAGCCACTATTAGCGGTTTAGCGGCCAATTAATTGGCTTAGCGGGTGTCATTTTACGCCCGCTAAGCTAATGGCTTAGTTTCAGCAGAAATCCGCTAAGATTAGTGTTTGCAAATTTTTTGTTAGCGGCTTCTAGCTAAGCTAAGCCAAGGTGGCGAAAATCCTTAGCTTAGCTTAGCAAGCCACTGTTGGTCGCAAACCCGACTGAACACTTCCCTGCAAGTCTGTGGTTTGCAAAAACAGATTTCCCCTGATTTCCCTCTGTCAAAAAGTGAGCCAAAACCTAAATCTGTTAGGTTAAAGCTGATGTGTTCACTGTGTTTGCCTCTGGTTTGGGCAACCAGCAATGAGAAAACTTCCAAGCATCCATTGCCAATCACTCCATTATTTGACAGTATCTCGTCAACCTTGATAACCTTCTTGCTGGTCACAAAATTCATCAAAGTAAGTTTTTTTTGGATTTCCATTTGACAAAGAAGTGTGTCATGGATTTGACTAAGATCTGTGCCATATTTGATCTCCACTTTTCCCGCTATGGTTATCCGCAAGTCTTTTCCATAAAGATTGATCTACTTCAACCAGTTATCTAGATACCACCCACAGGCTACACCCATGTAGGCACTCTCAAACAGTTTCTGGATGTAGCCTGTGGGTGGCATCTAGCAATCTCTTATATATATTATGAAGAATATTGTTACCCTAGGCATTACACCTTGGTATTTTGCCCAAAACTGTTTGATTTCATTTAGGAGCAATGTTCATGAAGGCCCTTTGCAAGTTCATGACTTATCCATTTTTCCCAACCCATGAATAAAAAGGGCAAAGTATGTCAAGCTGATGTCTCAATATTCCTATGTATATAAACAAAGATTTGCAATTACTACGACTATCATAATTGCTTTCACCAAGAACCAAAAAATCAATTTATCCTTTAGCTTTGAATGTACATTTTGTGGGTGTGTTCTAGCTTTGGATTCTTCACATTCACCATTTGGTTATGACTCCGGCTGACAAAAACTGAAGGCAGTGAATGGACAATCAAAGTTACAGAATCAATTGAATCAATTTCTCACAAGTCTAAATATATATTGTTTGCTTCTGGAGTCAGAAATCAGCCAGGCTTTTAGAATGTTCAACTTGTTGTGAAGATGTTATGTTACTTGGGTATTTGATTTACCTGCATAGCATGCAGTGTACAATACTCACTCAGACAGTTGATACATTAGCTATACTCAAGGATGAGATAGATTCAGTTGCTGATGAGATTGGTGGAGTCTTGAGAGGAGTTCCGTGGCCTACCTGCAGCATTGTGTGAGTAACTACCAGACTAAGAACACTCACCATTCTTTCTAATCTCCTACTCTTACTAATCTCAGGTTGACTTCAGCTCTTCAGGGGAATTTTTGATTTCATTGCAAGCAGCTAAATTGAAATTACATGATGCCAAGGGTGTTATAGAAGAACAAAAGCAATCAAACCTACGTCTGGGTGAGTAGTTTGTTGCTTGTGATCAAAACCTAGAAACTTATCTTGCTTTTTGGCAGGAACCCACCATCTTCAGAGGCATAAGCGCCTCCTGGAAACAAAGGAAGCCAACTGGAGAAGAAATACCAAGCTCTTGCGCGTCAAGCATTAAATTTCAATGCAAATACACAACGTAACAATCAAGTAGATTGCCCTTTATCTGACAAGGTGAAAAGCATGCCAAGTGATGATACATTTTGGGACTTTGGAAGTGTGACACATCCAAATGAACCATGGGTAATTGATCCAAAGGTACAATTAGGTACAACCTTACAAGCAAAGCTTCCAAAGTGGTGACTGTGTAAACTGCACCTGGATAAGACTTGCAAGATGATGACGTCATTCCTTTCTGGACATATGTTCCTCACGGTCACAACAAACACAACATATTTTACTGTAGTATGAGGGCGGCCAGTGTTTTCAGTAAATCTGACTCACTCTTTAGATGCAAGTAGCTCCACAAAGTGTACTGTAGTGGTGGTGAGACAAGGTCTGAGCCACCCCACTTGCTTCAAATTATGACTCATGACATGTATCAAGGTAAAACTGACTGTGCTGTGAATTTGGCACAGCAGATGGTTTCAGATCCAGATATCAGAGTGATCCCCCTTCACCCACATCCATGATTATATGGCGTTCTCATTCACCACACTTGATATTGTGCCCCAGCTACTTTTCTGAAGTTATATTCCACAATGCATACCAATCTCCACATTTTATCACCACTATTTTTCATCCAACTGGCTTTGATCACCATGCCTTCATGCTCATTGGGACAGGGGCACTTCTATGATGAAATAGGATTCCCACTTACATTCCACACATATCAACCAGAAGATGTAATGGTCAATAAGCTCAGCTACTCCCATGAACTTCCCAAAACCCCACCAACCACCTCTAGGAGAAATTTCCTAAGGGGGGCACTGGGTAGAACCAGACAAGCTTCAATAGATCCCCTCAATGAACTTCTACCTGTTGTATACAATTCTTTCTTTAAGACTACCAAGACAATTCAAGATCTTCAATCTCAACCTTCTCAACCAGTACATTTTGGAATTCAAAAATTAGCAGAGAAGGTATTGGTATTGGTCAACACACTTGGTAATCAGCATGTTCCTCAGACTGATTGGCTCAAAAAACATGAACACCTAGTAAAAGAATGCCAAGACTTGGCTCAGGAATCTTTGTTGAACCCTCATGATCTGAAAGACCTGGAAAGGCTTTGGGCTACTGGAATCTGGGTAGCACTTGAAATAGGAAAATGGGGAAGAACAGACAATATACCAATGCCAGACGGCCTCAGAAACCAAGTAAAACTGGAAATACAAGCTGCTTGGCGTGAGTTATATCACAAAATTTTAAAATGATCATTGAGCTGAAACCTGTATATTGTAACTTTCCTTTCTCCAGATTATGGAGCACAATTCACTGAAGCATTTGATCATTGGATGAGAAAGGAAATACCCACAAGAGGTGTGTAGTCCTTATATTTAATTCACTATATTTGCTGCTGACTTTCTGAAATTCAGGCCATGATCATGGACTTGAGGAATGTTTGAAGAGGGCTGAATTGATAGGACAACATGAGAAGGAGGATGGATATCAAATTGGTAGAATCCGTCACCCAACCGATAGAATGGTTGCTGAATACCTCTCAGGTCACACACTACCTCGAGAGGCTGTCCTAGTCCAGGGTCTTCTTGCTGAATTTCAGGAAATTTTCCAGGAACCACATGTTGAACTTACTGAGGGCCAATATGCTATTGATATACTCCAACATTTGCTGTATTTCTGGTCATATGACACACCCAAATCAGCATTTTGGATTGTCCTCAACAATTTGAAACTTTGGGAAAGTTTGAACAATTATCAGGCTAAGAGAGATGTTGTTATGAGCCATTAGTTATAAGGCTTTACCATGTATGCTTATACTGTATTGTACTCTAGTTATCCTTTCTCTCGAGTAGAACTACAGTTCCTCACGTAGCAATCTATTACCTTACCTAGAGGATCTTTTACGCTCACTCTCTTGCATCTCAGCAAGCCAGCTCCTATCATATTGCTACGTCTTATTTCATTCGAGATCCAAGAGAAAACACTTACGGCAAGAAAGAAAAAATCCGAAGAGAAGAAATCAAAATTTTAGAAGTGAAAGTGATTAGAAGTTTAAAACAAAGAAAAAGTTCATTAAAAGACGAAGAAAGTTAAAGATTGAAATTAAAAGAAGTACTGTGAAGAAAGTAAAACAGAGAAGAGATTCAAATTAGATTAAGTTTATCCGACAGAAGATTTTCCAAACCTTATCTTGATTATCCATTGTATCGACGCACCCCGCAAATTCGCTAAAAACCTTAATCCGCCACCACGCCAGACTTCACTGCACCAGATAGTCCAACCGGACAGGACGAGGAATTCGTAGACGCTGAAATGTCGGACATTACTATAGAAAGCTTGGTAAAGAAAATGGAGGAGATGAACAACAGAGTAATGGAAGAGAGTCGGCTGAGGGAGGAAGCTGAAAAGAGATGGTTAGAATTGAAAAATAGCATAGATCAAAGTAATGCGAGTAATATCAATACTCAAACTGCAACCCAGGCCCCACCTTCTATAACGACTCCAGCTCCAGTACAGCAAGTGCAACACATTCGACCACCGAAGATAGCCACGCCAAACAAATTTGATGGCGCTAAGGGTCAAAAGGCGGAAGTTTTTGTTAATCAAATTAGCTTGTATATGCAGATGAATGCGGATTCCTTTATTAACGAGCAAGCACAAGTTGCGTTTGCTTTATCTTATATGGATGGCAAGGCGAGTCTATGGGGTCAAAGCATGACAGACCAATTACTTGACTCGGAAAGGATGCGACTTGTGACGTGGAGCAAATTCATCGAATCTTTTAAGGCCACATTCTTTGATACTGAAAGGGTTGCTAAGGCAGAAAAGGAAATACGAGCGCTGCGTCAGGTTAAATCGGTGGCTGACTATTGGATTAAGTTTTCGGAAATCTCGTTAATTGTAAAATGGCCTCAATCAGTTTTAATATCTCAATTTAAGCAGGGACTAAAAGGTGAAATTAGAGTGCATATGGTGCGGGATGTGTTTGAAGATGTGGAGGACATGGCAAAACTAGCAATCAAGATCGACAACGAAGTCAATGAACGGAACTATGACTCCCTGACTCACCAAGCGAAAGTTACTGCGGCTACTCCATCCACCTCAACGACACCTCTCAATCCGGATGCGATGGATTGTTCTGCTTATCGATTCAACATATCTAATGACGAGTACCAAAGAAGGGGAAATGCAGGTCAATGCTACAATTGTGGGAAAGATGATCATTATGTAGGAGGATGTCCGCTTAGAAAGAATGTAGGAGGAAGGGGTACCTGGAGAGGGAGTTGGAGAGGAAGAGGGGGATATAGATATAAGTCAAAGTTAGCTGAAATTGATGGTGTTAAAGAAGAAGGAAAGGAAGAGAGTATAGCTGAAAATTCAAAAAATGGCGGTGCTCAGGAGTGTTAGTTGTGCCACACCTGAGCGGTAAATTGTTGAATCTAGACCATAGTATTATCAATGAACTTGAAATAAAAGATACGCGTATTTTTCATGATATCACTATTATTGATTCCTCATCTGCCACAACCGTAATTGCCAAAGCCCTCGTGGACAGTGGAGCCACCCACGAGGCAATGAGTCGAAGCTTCGCTCTGAAACATCGACTAAGCACAGAACCGTTACCTCAAGTGCGAAAGGTGACTGGTTTTAGTGGACATGAAACACAAGTCACTCATACGGGTGACTTCCACATCAACACTTTGAACTCAACACCGACAACATTTATCCTGACCGACCTGAAAGACAAATATGATGTAATCTTAGGAATGCCATGGATCAAAAGGAATTGGAAGCTTATTGACTGGAAGAACAGCAAGTTAATCAATGAAGAATCAACCATTGCAGTTACGGAGGTAACTTCGTTAATACCGACAACAACCTCAAAGGCCCTTGTGGAACCCAAGAGGAATGCTAGGAATATTAACGAGGGGGTGGAGTTCGAGAACTCATTAACACCCCCGCAATGTGAGTGCGATAATCTACCTCCTCATTCTTTTCCCGAAGCAGCTGGCAAGCGTTCTCTCCTTCTAGAATTAAAAAACAAACCGATTCTTGTGGAAAACGAGAAGCACAATGAAGATGAAGATATGAAAACACCGAGTAGAAATGATACCAAGACTGCTACTATTGATAAAATAGTATTGTCAATGTCGAACCAAGCCTTGAAGGACCAAAGTGGATTGGAGCCTGAAAGGCACGCTAGGCAAAATGACAAGGGGGTTGAGTTTCGCACAAACTCTATTAAACCCCCGCAGAGTAAGTGCATTCAATCTTTTCACCATGCATCAAAGAACATTGGCAAGCGTTTTTCTCTCTCAAATTCAGTGATTAACAACCTATCATCAAGATCACAAAAACCCAAGTCGACAATGTTAAAAGTTCGAGAGAAGATGACACCGTCTCAAATGATGATAAACGCCGCCAAAGCATCATGGAACCTATCAGCAAAGCTCGCAGCTGAACAGATACAAGGAGCACCCGAAAAAACAGCAGCAGAATTAGTACCGGAATGTTATCACGAGTACTTATACATGTTTGAAAAGTCAAAGTCCAATGTATTACCGCCTCATCGCCCTTATGATTTTCGAGTTGATATCATTCCTGGAGCCACACCTCAAGCTGGCAAAGTTATTCCGCTGTCACCAAAGGAAAGTGAAGTCCTCAAAGAAATGCTAGAGAAAGGCTTGTCAAATGGCACAATAAGACGAACAACTTCGCCGTGGGCTGCACCTGTGCTCTTTACGGGGAAAAAGGATGGAAATTTAAGGCCTTGTTTCGATTACCGTAAATTGAATGCAGTCACAGTCAAGAATAAGTATCCATTACCACTGACAATGGAACTTATTGATAGTTTATTAAATGCCGACGAATTCACAAGCCTGGACATGCGCAATGGGTACAACAACCTTAGAGTACGTGAAGGCGACGAAGCAAAGCTTGCATTTATCTGCAAAGAAGGACAGTTCGAACCCTTAACCATGCCATTTGGACCAACTGGAGCTCCCGGTTTCTTTCAATATTTTATACAAGATATTCTCAAGAATCATATTGGAAGGAACGTTGCAGCCTACCAGGATGATATATTGATTTACACGGGACCTGGCGTAGACCATCAAGCTGTTGTAAAAGAGGTACTCAAGATCTTAAAAGAACAGAATGTGTGGTTAAAACCGGAAAAATGTAAATTCTCTCAGAAGGAAATCTCATATCTAGGCCTTATCATTTCAAAGAATCAGATTAGAATGGATGAAAGCAAAGTCAAGGCAGTAAAGGATTGGCCCCGACCAAAGAATCTCACTGAAGTACAGACATTTTTAGGTTTTTCCAACTTTTATCGCCGCTTCATCAGTCACTTTTCCAAAATTGCACGACCATTACACGAACTATCACAAAAAGATATGGCTTTCGAATGGAATGAAGACAGGGAAAGGGCGTTTGAAACATTGAAGACTGCGTTTACGACGGCACCAGTGCTGAAAATAGCTGATCCATACCGCCCGTTTGTGTTAGAGTGTGATTGCTCAGACTATGCATTAGGAGCGGTACTATCTCAAATTTCGGAAGACGACAATGAATTGCACCCAATAGCCTATTTATCACGGTCTTTGATACAAGCAGAAAGAAATTATGAGATCTTTGATAAAGAACTCCTAGCCGTTGTAGCCTCCTTCAAGGAGTGGAGACAATACTTGGAAGGAAATCCCAACAGACTGAATGTTATTGTTTACACGGATCATAAAAATTTACAATCTTTAATGACAACAAAAGAGCTAACACGACGGCAAGCTAGATGGGCAGAAATTCTGGGTGAATTTGACTTTGAAATACGGTTTCGACCTGGTAGACAATCAGCCAAGCCGGATGCATTGTCCAGACGACCCGATTTAATACCACCAGAAGGCACGAAATTAACATTTGGCCAAATATTGAAGCCGGATAACCTGCCAAAAGACGCCTTTCTTGATGATTTAGACATTGCTGATATGTGGTTCGTGAATGAAGATGAAATCCACATTGATGAAATTAACGAAGTTGAAGATGAAGAGCTTGAAAGCGCTGAAGATAATCAACGGATATGGAATGATTTGAAGATTTTGTCGAACATTAAGGAAAAATCCGGCGAAGATCTGAAGATGAATGAAATTAAGAAACTATGTCAAGAAATGCCAAACTCAAAGCTGTTGAAAGACTATAAGTTGAATGACGATATTCTGTATCACAGGAACAAGGTAGTCATACCCAACGACTTAGAATTGAAGTTACAAATTCTTCGATCTAGGCACGACAGCCGATTAGCTGGACATCCGGGAAGGATGAGAACCCTTGCACTAATCAAAAGATCGTATTATTGGCCGGGGATGAAAGCATTCATAAATCAATACGTCGATGGCTGTCAATCTTGCCAACGCGTAAAGTCTCGAACGGAGAAACCGTTCGGCAGCTTACGTCCCCTCCCAGTACCTGAAGGACCATGGCTTGATGTCTGTTACGATTTAATCACAGACTTACCAATATCAAAGGGTTTCGACAGCATATTAACTGTTGTTGATCGATTGACTAAAATGGCACACTTTATACCATGTATGAAGACATTAACATCGGAGGAACTAGCTGACATTATGATTCGAGATGTTTGGAGGTTGCATGGAACACCTAGGTCAATCACATCTGATCGAGGAAACGTGTTCATCTCGAGAGCGACGAAAGACTTTCACAAACGACTGGGAATAAAAACCCAATCGTCGACTGCGTACCATCCTCAAACTGATGGCCAGTCGGAAATAACCAACAAAGCAGTTGAGCAGTTCATAAGGCATTATACATCTTACAAACAGAATGATTGGCATGATCTTCTTCCTTTTGCAGAGTTCTCGTATAACAACAACCACCATGTAGCCATTGGAATGTCACCCTTCAAGGCAAACTATGGATTCGACGTTGCTTTTACGGATGTGCCATTGAGCGAACAGTGTTTACCAGCGGTAGAAGACAGGATGAATCAAATCAAAGATGTGCAACGAGAATTGAGAGATGCGATGAATTTAACCCAAGAAACAATGAAGACCCAACATGAAGGCAAAACGAAAAAATCACCGAGTTGGAAAAAAGGGGACAAAGTTTGGCTTAGCAACAAGAACATAGCTACGACAAGGCCTACAGTTAAGTTTTCGCATAGGTGGCTAGGTCCATTCACAATTACAGCGCATGTGTCAGATAATGCTTATAAACTTGATTTACCCAAGTCTATGCATAGGATCCACCCAGTATTTAACGTCAATTTACTCCGAAAGTTTGAGAAGAGCAAGATTGAAGGACAAAATCAAAGACCATCACCGCCAATAATAATTGATAATGAAGAAGAATTTGAAATTAATGAGATATTAGACAAAAGAAAGAAAGGGAAAAAAGTAGAGTATCTAATTAATTGGAAAGGTTATGGACCCAATTACGACTCTTGGGAACCGGAAAGTGGACTCAAGAATGCAAAAGACATTATGAATGAATTCAACAGAAAATATCCTCAAGCAGAAGATAGATATAAGAAGGCACGGAGAAAGAATTGAGGGTGAAGCTTTTTCCCTATGGGGTTTTTTAATGCCAACCCGTGGAAAGATGCTAACCTGCAAGAGGGGGTTGAGTCATAAAGGGGGGAGTGGTGTTATGAGCCATTAGTTATAAGGCTTTACCATGTATGCTTATACTGTATTGTACTCTAGTTATCCTTTCTCTCGAGTAGAACTACAGTTCCTCACGTAGCAATCTATTACCTTACCTAGAGGATCTTTTACGCTCACTCTCTTGCATCTCAGCAAGCCAGCTCCTATCAGATGTCGTCCAACTTTCTGAAAAGTTAAGACCATTTCTAACCAATATAAAACTGAACTCAGAATCCCAAGATTTGTACAAAATATTGAGTAATCCATTGGAACAACATATCAATGTCAAGAATGCCATCAATAGACTGCTGATAGAAATGAAGGATATTCCAGAGGTAGACCTTGAAGACCCCTACAAATTGATAATGGCACATAATCACCTGGGCCACTATGTGGAAGAAGAACTAACTTCTGAGGAACCTTCCACCAACAGGTGGGATATTGTTGATGGTATTCAAAGGGCCTGGTCCAAAATTTATCCAGGATTTTGTTTGGGTCAAGAGGATCTGATGTCTTACAATTATGATATCTTCCTAGCGTGTAGGTTCAGTTTTTTTATCAGGCCTTGACCCAATGTATGCTGACCAAAAGAATTCTTTCCACAGATCCTCACCTCCTTGCACATGCCAAATGGGAAAACTTCATGCAAGTCACACAACAGTTCTTGACCAGTCCTGATGCATTTTCCAGATTTCTCTGGATCAGGCCATCACAACCATACCAGGCTTCCGCTTATGATGAAGGATATTATCGCAACATTGCAGCAGGCATGAGCAATATGGAGATACCATATCCACTGGGTCTTGAGATGTTAATGCATCTGACCAATTACCTGCCAAAAGGGCCTGAACAACTCCTGCAATTAATTTACAAAGAATCTGTGGCTGTTCGTCATGCTATTAGCCATGTAATGTTTAAAGAGTTCAAGTGGCCTTCCTGGACCAACCATGATAGATCAGAACAAGAAATGAATGAAATAAAACACTTTATAAATGTCTTGGACAAGATAACTCCCATTTTCAGTAAAAGGAAGATGGCAGAAATACACTTAGACCATGTAACAGACATACAGCGTAAAGCTCTTGACACACCATCGGAAAGTTCTGCCTTAGAACTATTGAACCCAGGAACCAGCTCGCCAAATGTGGAAAAATGGAGGAGAATATTTCAAAAAACAAGTCCAGCTACTACAATGATTGGTCAAACTAAGGTGTATTGGTACCATGTGATTGGTTCCCGCATGGGGAGTCACCATGTAATTTAAGTGGCAGACATCAATACAATGCCAACAGTTGGAAGCCCTGTCATAGAAACAGGGTCATATAAGGTAGGGGCAGGGACAAGGACACAAGTTATTCAGTATTCCATCACAACACATAAGCTGTTTTTTATAATGATAGAAAAAACCTATGGGGTATCCTACTCCAGTCATGCATATGACTGGGAGAGTACTGTTCCTTTGGCCTCAGGCTCTCTACCTGCCAATTTTTTGTTCTTTTATCTTCTTTTTTAAGATCTTTTGGCATATGGTATTTGTTCCTCTTCATATACTTTTTGAGCTGTGTGTATCTTCTTTCCACTTTTGATCCTGTTCATTTAATCTTCACCGTGTCTTGTGAATAGTGATTTATTTAAAGGATTTGCTGAATCCTTTGTGGTCAGCAGGGGTCAACTGACTTTCAACCTCCCGGGTGATAAGGGGAAGAGGTGCTTGTTGTGGCACCTTTTTGATGGGTCTTTACAGGATCTAAGGAAAGTATTTTGTGTGTGCACACCGACGTGCTACAAGGATATTTACATGGTGCTTCTATCAATCTTGTTATCTGTGTTCCTATGATCCGCTGCATTTTCTGAGAAATTTGCAATTCACTTTGGTACTTTTCCATTTGCCTTCAGTGACACCACATTTAGTTACCAGAGGAGCTTACACCTCCCCCATTCTTCCTAACATGGTCTCATTACTTTTGCCACTGTCAAAATTAAGTCTGACTAAGCATTTGGTAAAGATATCACAACACATCACCCAAGTATTTAGGGATATAGATTCAGCTTGACCTAGTTTCCCCTTTTTATGCATGAATTGCATTGAGTTTGTGAGTGTTTGATTCAATGTTCATCTACATAATGAAAAAGAGGAGGGACTTGCAAGAGCTGTGTTTATGTGGGTGAATTCTGCCTGTGGGTAATTTTTTTGTTCTCATTCAACCTTTGACCTTTGTGTTTTGTGTTTCATCCTTTGCTAACCTTGTGCATTTGATATCTTTTTATGTCCACTTAGCTTCATCTTTGTAACTCTTTGTTTGCAAATCTTCCATCTATTCTCTAGAGTTTAAAGGTGTAATTACATTGGGATTGTCCATTCAAAGTATGTGTTTCCTAGTTTTCAATAAACTAAGTCTAGCAATTATTTATCTCTCCTCACCTCATCATTTCATATATATCCTCTTCTCTTTTACCTACTCAAATCTAGATACCTACCAGCTGTGAAGTGTATGGGTAACATTGCCACTGATAGTTCCAGAGAAAATGAAAGAAGACAACAAAAAAAGCTGTTTGTGTTGTGCAAAAAATGTCATGTTCCTGTGTACTGTATAGTGCTTATTGCTGAAAATAAGGAAATGTAGAACAAGGTTGTGCCCCAAAGATGATATTTGAAAAGCAAGAACAAACTATGGAATTGTTTCAAAAAGCTATAGACACAGATTCCTCAATCTCATAATTCCAAAACCACTTTTGGAATTTAAAAAAGGTGATTTTTGGCGGAGGGGATAGGCTTTGAAGATCTGATTTGATTTCCTTGTTTTCAGGGATAAGCACTATAGCATTTGTGATTATCTAGACTTTGCACTTGGCACAAAAACTGATCATCTATAAGCTTGTCAACGAAGTACACACATTTGTGACAAGTGCTAATTCAAGGAAGGGTTTGTCACACATAGCTGTACACATCCAAATTTTTTACAACCCGGCTTATCCAGCCATAACATCAACTCAAGGCTTGGAATTGTCTGATTTGATGTATTCTCTCTTGCACGCTACTGATGTAGTATATGTATTTGAGTCTTTTGCTGGTTCAATGTTCCGTGATTGTGGAGATGGTTGCTATATGATTCCAACAGCCATACACAACATGCTTTGATCTGTGTATCTTGACAGTAGCACATTCAAACTCTCAGCCCAATGATGGGGGGATTTCTGACTAAGATGTAATGATTATATATATAGCTTCATGACCTAGTACAAAGATCTGCAATTAGGGAATGATCACCATTATACCCGCTTTATGTGATGAAATACAATGTTTTATGCACATATTTGGGACCCAAGTGTATTTCATAAGTGTTTTCTTTTCATTTATTCCTTTTTGTTTTGTTTTATTAACATTTTGAAGTACCTGAACAAAAAGTTGGGGGTCAACAAAGAGCGGATGTATACGACCTGAAAGGTGATCATTGCGGATTTTGTCATGGGTTCACCACCCAAGTGGCTCTTTTATGTCACCCACCTCCATAGGAGCATTCCAGGGTCCTGTTGACGCTGTTGTACCAGTGATAACTGCAAACATGAGAGCTAAAGTTGTTGAATGGAGAGTTGAGATTTCAGAATCAATTGGAACAATCTCTCGCACATCACCACCAACATATTTACCTTGCATTTTTCAATCTGAGGTCCCCTTGGATTCCAAATCTTGGACAGAAGCCCCCCAAGGTTTTGAAACAAGGTAATTCTCAGTGCAAAAGGATACCTTAGATAGAAACCTTGCCAGGTTTCAAAATGGTCAACTTTTCATAAAAGAGGTTACATTGCTTGGGTGTTTGACTTAGACAATTAGGGTGTACAAATATCAATTCTGTGAAATTTCAGAGAGTTTGCCAGAAAGTCCAACAGAACGACAGATACCCAAATTTTTCTTCTGTCGTTCTGTGTGTATGTTTAGCTGAAGTTCAAGTTCAACTTCCTGAACCATCAAAACTTCATTCAGCTCAATCAAACCAACAATTGACTACTACTATCTTCAATCTCAAATCAATCAAAAACTCATATTCATCAAAATAGTCAGTCAAGAAAACAATTATTGATCCTGTTCACTAACAATTTCAAAATCATCACAGGCAGCAAGCTCATTAATCTTATAATACCTTCATAGGTCATGGCAGTGCTTTCTAATGATCAATTCTTCACTTCAACCCTTCCAAAATTGGAAACCTGACTTCAATCAAGATGTGCTCCGGTCAATATCCGGCGTGGTCGGCTCCATCCAACATCCGGACCAACGGTTATTTTTTACTATCCGGCATGCTGGACCCCCATCCAACACTTGAACCAGCTACTTGTTGGCTATCCGACGGATATCTGGCCGGTACAGCCAAAAAAAAAAAAGAAAAAAAAAGGAAAGGGCCTTTTTGATCATCTTCCCCACCACCTCAAACCTTACAATTGTCTGATATATCCACTTATCACCGCGCAAACGACCTTCTCACTTCAATTAATCAACCTTAAGTCAATTGATCAACATGTCCGAAGCCCCCACCTTGACAACAATTGATTTGTCCCAAGCCAATAGCTCCGATACGATGGAATCTCAGTCAACTTGAAAAAGCTATGTATGGAAATATTTTAAAAGATTAGAAAACTCAGAAACCAATCAGTGTCATTACGTCATGAGGGATGGAAAAGAATGTGGCACAAAGTTGAAACACAATGATAAAGGAAGTACTATTTCAATGAAGATCCACCTCACTTTCAAGCATAATCTCCGCGATGACGGTCCAATTGATGGAAGACAAGGAAGCTTGACTGCAGGTTTTAAGAAGATGAAATCAGTTCACATGGCAAGTCTTTTTGTCTTCTTACTCCAGAACACATTGACAATAGCTCATGTTCTTTTGATTTGAAAAACTGCTAGGATGTACTTGATGTTTCCAACCTCAAGACTAGTATATGTTATCTCATTGCCAATAACGACCTCACCTTCTCAATTGTTGAGAAAGAATCCTTCCAAAGATTATTGAAGCTTGTCAATCCTGACGTAAAAGGAATGCTTGTTGGACGGCATGCAATTTCTAAATATATGCGCAGACTTTATTATCATCATGAAGATCATATCAAGAAAACCTACTTATGACCTTGCAAAGCAATTGCCATTACTCAAGACACATGGATGTCTCCAAATAATAAGCCCTTGATGTCTCTCACTGGTCACTTTATAACAGAGAACTGTGACCTTATGGACCTTACTCTTGGCATTGCGGAAATCAAAGGTGAGAGTATCTTCTTTTCTATTGATCTGATCAACTCAAGCTGACTGACACCCAATCTTCCAGGTGCACACAACACCAATAACTTTGCCGGCTTAATCATTGAATATCTGACCAAGTATGACCTTACCAATAAGTTGTGTGCGATGACTGCCAACAATGTTGGTACAAACGCTGCTATAGGTCAAGTCCTTTCGAATTCAGATGGTATCACTTTTGATCACACAAAACAAGTCCATGGTTGTGTAGCGCACATTATCAACCTAGCTGCAAAAGAGGGACTCAAGGTTTTTGGTGAAATTCTTGACAAGGAAGAAGAGCAAGATTCATCAAACTTAATGGATATTAACAACCTTGTCGACCCACCCGAAGTGACTCAAGTAAACCTCAAGACCATCTACAATCAATGCCATGGTCTGGTTACTTGTACTTGGTCCAGCCCTCAACGTGGTCAACATTTTGCTGATATTGTCAAGCTCAAGCGTGCTATTTCTGCTGCTGCGAAGAAGAATCAGAATTCAAGAAACAATTCTCAGCCTCAAAGAAATCCAGCTGAGAATCCTCCATCAGCCCAAGCCAACCCTGATACTGATACTTCTGATCCTGCTGACACTGAGGCTCTCGATTATCTATTAGACAATCCTACTGTTGACAATGTTCAACCAACCCCCAAAAAAAACCCGGCTGAAACTGCAACTCGCCTGATTGTTGATGTTCCCACCAGATGGAACTCTTCATATCACATGTTTCAAAGACTTTTGCGTCTACAAGAAGCATGTGATGGATTCTGCCTGCAAAACAAGTACAAAAAGTATGCACTCTCCAGGCTCGAGTGGGATTACGTCAAACAAATGTGCGATTTCTTGGAACCTCTGAGCAAAGCGACTGACATACTCTGTAAGTCAAAGTACCCAACAATGCATCAAGTGGGTCCATTGTATGTTGCAATCTTGCAAAAACCAAGATTAGTAAGTATTTGTATTTTTTTACTTTTAAATACACATAAATTATAATTGGATAATGTGACTTAATGTACATCTAGGTACACCATCAATACGATCATGATCAACTTCAACCCGCGTCTAAAAACATGATATCAAAACTTGAAGACTACTTCAAGAAAGTCTTTACCAAACCTGCGCCAGTCTGTGCTACCCTCCTGGATCCACAACTCAAGATGAACTATTTTCAAGTGAGTTTCTTCATACTCATCTTACTTTAAGGTTGTACTGATCAGGAAGTATGTCTCATTTACCAACAGGAACAATCCATGTTTTTTTCTGAGTATGACCTCTTTACTTCAGACATCAGGTCAACATTTGAACTAGAGGCCTTGAAATATGAAGTCGATGAACCAATGCCCACTCCAACTACCACCAGGAAATCCACTGCCACATCTACTTCCCAGTACTTCAAAGACACTATTTTTGGTGCCCCAGACGCTGCACAGGACCATTCAATCAGTGCCGAGATTACTCAATATCTCAACGATAAACTTGAATCCCGCGATACTAAGGTCCTAGATTTTTGGAAAAAACGTGGTAGCAATATGTATCCTGCATTGGCAAAAATGGCCATGGCCTTCCTTGCAATTCCAGAAACTAGCTGTCCGTTGGATGGTATTTTTAACAAGACCAAAAGGATCTTGGGGCCTCCGCGTACTAATCTTGCGTCCTTACACGTTGAGGCTCTCTTGTGTGTGAAAGATTGGCATCAGGTGTTTGGCCCTTTGAAACCTAGCCGTGATGCTGAGGATGATAGTGATTAGTTTTTTATTTTTTTTATCATCTTGTTTCCCTTATTATTCAATATTTTTCCTTAAATTTATGTGAACACACGGCTACTTGAGACTGCAATGATATGAAAATATCAGCCAGATATCCGACGGATATTGCATTTTCCGACCCCCTCATCTGATAACCGAACCAGCCGGAGTATCCAGCGACCAGATAGCTCCAAGGCCTCATCCGACATCCGGAACCGTTGGATGCTCCGTTGAGTATCCGACGGATGTTTGGTTTTGGAGCACATCTTGAGACTTTGAGACTTCAATCCTGGTTTTTGGATCTTGTACACTTTCCAGGTAGAAAATCAATTTGTTTTTGTGAAGTTTATTTTGTATCTTCAAAACAAAAGGAACTTTTATTTTTGCTTCTTAAAACTAATCAGATCACTCTTTTCTTGTCACAACTACATAAGACAACATCAAAGTGAAATGATTGTATGTTTAGGTTGTTCTAATTGTTTGAAAGATAATGATAGCAAAACAATGTAAACAATCAATTGTTTTGTTAGTTGATATCTAAAAGCAATTGATCATTGTGTTCTAAAAGATTGAAAAGATGAAGATTCAAAAACAATCAAAACAATCAAAACAATCAAAACAATCAAAACAATCAAAACAATCAAAATGATCAAAATGATCAAAACAAATAGTTGATATCTAAAAGCATTTGATCATTTTGTTCTAAATGATTGAAAAGATGAGGATTCAAAAACAATCAAAACTATCAAAACAATTGATGGATTGATTTCAGTACTTTGGGTTGAAATCAGAAATGTAAGCTAGTCCAGTTGAAGTTGTGTTCAATTTGATGGATGCAATGATATTGATAGGTATGAATGAAATACTTGTGAGGAGGAGGTTTCGCCGGGAGACAAAGATAGCACCGGCGCATGCTTCTAGACACTGTCTGGTGTTCAGGGAAAAGGGGCGTTCAAAGCTCAAGAACAACACAGAACCACAGAACGTCAGATCCCACCAAAATTTGGGTATCTGTCGTTCTGTTAAACTTTCTGGCAAACTCTCTGAAATTTCACAGAATTGATATTTGTACACCCTAAATGTAGTGCCAGCGGCTGAAACACTTTTTATTAATCAAGATGAAACTTATTGTAATAATGCTATTTTTTTCCTCTTTAATGGGTTTGAAATGTAAGACAATACTTTGTCATCTTTTGATGACATTTTTTAGAAAATGGAGCTAAGGAGTTATATCCTGCTTTATATTTTTTGTATACAATTCAAGTTTAATAAGTCTTTAGTTATGTGATCCTTGTTAATATATCTCAATGTTGCTTTGAAAAGTACTTTCACAAAAGCTGAACTTAGGGGACTTCTTGCACAGACATTTAGGGTGTAAAAATATGCCTTCTGTCATTTTTCAGAGAATTTGACAGAAGGTTTCACAGAATGACAGATACCAAAATTTGGCGGGATCTGTTGTTTGTTAAAAATATCAAGACAGACAGAGCAACAGAACAACAGATCACACCAAAATTTTGGTATCTGTTGTTCTGCAAAACCTTCTGTCAAATTTCAGAGAATTTGACAGAAGTCATATTTGTACACCCTAATTGCTGAGGCTCTTCTCAATAAAAAATAATTTTCTGGAAGTCATTTTGTAAGACTGTTTGATGTATATGTATGGTCTCCTTTATGTTGTACTCTAATTGGTATCTGTGCTCTTCTTGGTGAGACATATTTGATCTGTCTGGATGAATCAAAAGGGATCGGTAGCAAAAACATAAAGATAGTCATTTGGTCAAGTCTTACACCAATGAACCATCAGAAAATGCCATGTAGTAGAGCTCTTGTTTGACTTGTGCAAACATTTTCAAGTTTTGTGGGACTGAAGCTCTCCCCCTATTGAGCCTACATGTAATGTGGTATCAGACTTCTTCTGAGACTACCTGAGAAGGACCCTGGAATGCGCCTATGGATGCGCCTGACCAAAAATCCAACTTTTTTCTTAAGGCTTTTGGGCCATAGAAGGACTACACTAACACTTGTCAACAAGTGCAGGAGCACAAACATTAATGTAACTGGTTAAGAGCTTTTGAATGCACTTGCTTTTAACCCTGTAGCACCACTGGTTGCTGTGATAATCAAATGTATCGCCCTAAAACATCAAAGTTGGATTTTGGTCTTGAGTGCCGTAAAAAAAATGTGCCTTTGCATTTTACAGCGCAATGAGTCAAGCTGCGGAGCTTGGACCAGGCTTGCTTGAGAGCCTAGACAACTACATCCTTTGAGGTGCTTAGGATCTCCAGGTAATGACTGGTGTGTAATGTAGAGCTCAAAAACCCCAACATGGTTTTTGTCAGAGACATCAATGGGCACATTCCAGGTGTGAGAAGAGCCCTGGGACATACAGGAAGAGTTGAATCCCTTCTGGTGTGGCATTGTTTTTGCATAGCAGTTCCTTCTCTTTATAAGCCTGTATGCTCACAGCTCCACCAACCACATATGATATCTAGACATCCATTTTTGGTCAAAATTATTACATGTGAGAGACAATCATTTGGAAATTGTGAAAGGAAACGTTTTGAAAACAGGAAGTTAGAAGCAAATCAAATTGTTTAAACCAAAAAGACAAGTTGAAAAGATATCATGATTGCTTTTTTTAAATATCATACAAAGAGACAGTTGCAAACAATGACAACATTGAGTTGTCTTTGACAATTAGCAATAGTACAGTGAGATCAAAAACAGGGTCAGCATTGCAACAACCTCTTGGAGCAAGCTTTCATCATAGATACTTGAAGATGTAGCATATAATTGGCCTCTGCCCCATTGTTTTTGTTGCCAGATAAAAGTGAGCAAGGCCTCACTAGCTTCATTTGTATGTTGTCTATGAAATAGGCACAAGTAATCAAATAGCAAGGAGTGTTCTTGTATTAATTGATGATTTCTTCTGGATTGGGGTGAGTCTAAACATATGTAAGGTGCAAATCAATTCTTTGACAATGATTCTTGACTATTCATGATAAACTCATCATAGTTTGATGGATTTTTTGAAGTCTTAACAATCAATTATTTCAAACCTCCATACATATATACCAGTTGCCACTATCCTGTATAAACAGTGTATGACAAGCCACCATCCTCTGTGATTTATTTTTCTCAGGATTGTCTCAGAGCGAGTCAGTCTCAGAAAAAGACATGCAGTTACACTGCCACCACAGTAAGCTTGACACAGCAATGACTAGCATTATTGAAGCGCAGCTTTGGGCTCAAGTTGTGGCATACTGCAGGAAAGTCACACATTGTGCTCTCTCCTCAATATAAAATATTTCTAATAATGCACTGTAGGTAATACCAGAAGCTATACTTGATTCAATCAGATCAATCCACATGAAGGTATATTTTCTAGACAGAGATACAATTGCTCCTGCAAAGCATGCAGCTTTACAATGCTCACTCACATAGTTATGAGATGCTAAAGTAATGTTATTCTTGGTGTGAGTGTTCCTGTGTTTAGGTGTACATACATTACAAGCAAAGCTGCCCAAGTGGTGGCTGCGTAGACTGCACACAGATAAGACTGGTAAGATGATTATGCCCCTTCCTTTCTCAGTGGGACATCTTTTTCTCATGGTCACAATGAAGACAACAACATTTACTGTAGCATGAGTATGACTAGTGTTTTCAGTGACTCTGACTCACTTTGTAGATACAAGTTGCTCCACAAAGTGTACTGTAGTGGTGGTGAAACAAGGTCTGAGCCTCTCCACTTGCTTCAAATTATGACTCATCACATGTATCAAGGTAAAACTGGCTGTGCTGTGAGTTTTGCACGGCAAGGTTTGTGTCTAATGGTGGCTGGGCACAACTTGGAAAAGGTTTCAGACCCTAATATAAGAGTGATTCCCCAACACCCACAAATCCACGATTATATGACCTTCTCATTCACCACACTTGATATTGTGCCCCAGCTACTTTTCTGAAGTTATATTCCACAATGCATACCAATATTCGCATTTTATCACCACTACTTTTTATCCAACTGGCTTTGATCACCATGCCTTCATGCTCATTGGGACAGGGGCACTTCTATGATGAAATAGGATTCCCACTTACATTCCACACATACCAACAAGAGGATGTAATGGTCAATAAGCTCAGCTACTCCCATGACTTCCCAAAACCCCACCAACCACCTCTAGGAGAAATTTCCTAAGGGGGGCACTGGGTAGAACCAGACAAGCTTCAATAGATCCCCTCAATGAACTTCTACCTGTTGTATACAATTCTTTCTTTAAGACTACCAAGACAATTCAAGATCTTCAATCTCAACCTTCTCAACCAGTACATTTTGGAATTCAAAAATTAGCAGAGAAAGTATTGGTATTGGTCAACACACTTGATAATCAACATGTTCCTCAGACTGATTGGCTCAAAAAACATGAACACCTAGTAAAAGAATGCCAAGACTTGGCTCAGGAAGCCTTATTGAACCCTCAATATCTGAAAGACCTGGAAAGGCTTTGGGCTACTGGAATCTGGGTAGCACTTGAAATAGGAAAATGGGGAAGAACAGACAATATACCAATGCCAGACGGCCTCAGAAACCAAGTAAAACTGGAAATACAAGCTGCTTGGCGTGAGTTATATCACAAAATTTTAAAATGATCATTGAGCTGAAACCTGTATATTGTAACTTTCCTTTCTCCAGATTATGGAGCACAATTCACTGAAGCATTTGATCATTGGATGAGAAAGGAAATACCCACAAGAGGTGTGTAGTCCTTATATTTAATTCACTATATTTGCTGCTGACTTTCTGAAATTCAGGCCATGATCATGGACTTGAGGAATGTTTGAAGAGGGCTGAATTGATAGGACAACATGAGAAGGAGGATGGATATCAAATTGGTAGAATCCGTCACCCAACCGATAGAATGGTTGCTGAATACCTCTCAGGTCACACACTACCTCGAGAGGCTGTCCTAGTCCAGGGTCTTCTTGCTGAATTTCAGGAAATTTTCCAGGAACCACATGTTGAATTTACTGAGGGCCAATATGCTATTGATATCCTTGCACATATGCTTCATTTCTGGTCCTACGATAGACCCAGATTGGCATTTGGTATTTTCCTCAACAATGTGGTACTTTGTAAAAATATGAACAGTTTCCAGGCTAAGAGAGACATCCTTCAACATTCTGAAAAGTTAAGACCATTTCTAACCAATATCAAACTTAACTCAAGATCTCAAGATCTGTACTCAATCTTGAGCAATCCATTGGAACAACACCAAAACGTCAAAAATGCCATCAATAGACTGCTGATAGAAATGAAGAATATCCCAGAGGCAGACCTCCAAGACTCCTACAAATTGATCATGGCCCATAACGAACTGGGAAAATATGTGGAACAAGAACTACTTTCTGAAGCGCCTTCCACCAACAGGTGGGATATTTTTGATGGTATTCAAAGGGCCTGGTCTAAAATTTATCCAGGATTTCGTTTGGGTCGAGAGGATCTGATGGCCTACAATTATGGTCTTGTCCTAGAGCGTATGTTCAGTCTTTTCATCAGGCCTTGAATCAATGTATCCTGACTGAAATAATTGTTTCCACAGATCCTCACCTCCTTGCACATGCCAAATGGGACAATTTCATGCAAGTCACCCAACTCTTCAAAGAAGATGTGCCTTCCAAACCTTTCTGGAACAAGCCTTCTCAACCATACCAGGTTGCTGCTTATGATGGAGGATATTATCGCAACATTGCAGCAGGCATGAGCAATAAAGAGATACCATATCCATTGGGTCTTGAGATGTTAATGCATCTGACCAATTACCTTCCACAAGGGCCTGACCATCTCCTGCAATTAATTTCCAAAGAATCTGCGGCTATTCGTGATGCTATCAGGCATGTGATGTCTAAAGAGTTCAAGTGGCCTTCCTGGACCAATCATGATAGATCAGAACAAGAAATGAAGGAAATAAAACACTTTGTAAAAGTCCTGGACAAGATAACTCCCGTTAGTAGTATGACAGAAATAGCAAAAGTTAACTTAGTCCATGCAAAAGACAATGTAAAATTACATGCATCAAACTTCAAGTGTCGCATAATGCATCAACCCCTTGACACACCAACGGCAAGTGATGGCTTAGAACTCTTAAACGGGGACACCAGCTCATTAACTATGGAACAATGGCGGCAAATATTTCAAAAAACAAGTCCAGTTACTACACAAATTGCTCAAACTACCTTGTCTTGGTACCCGCGTTGGGAGGCATCGTGGAATTTAAGTGGATGACCTCAATAAAATATTGACAGTTCACAGCCATGTCATGGAAAAAGGGTTATATACGTTATGGGGAGGGACAAGGACACAAATCATTATGTAATAACCGTACATAAGCTGGTATTTATAATGATACAAACAAGACTATGGGCTATCCTACATATGCCCTACAGTCATGCATATGACTGGGAGGGTACTATTCTTTCTGCATCAGGGTCTCTTCCCGCCAAATTTCTGTTCATTCTATCTTGTTCTTTTCTCTTCATTTCTAAGATCTTTTGGTAAATGATGTTTCTTCCTCTTGACATACTTCCCGAGATAAGTGTGTCTTCTGTTTACTTTTGATCCTGTTTATTCAATCTACTTTTTTCATCTTGTTATCTGGGGTTCTATGATCCGATGCCTTTCCTGAGCAAGTTGCAATTTGCTTTGGTATGATTGGATTTGCCCGTAGCGACACCATATTTTGGTTCCCGGAGGAGCTTTCGCATCCTCCGGTCTCCCTAACACAGCCTCATTACTTTTGACTGTCGACATCAAGTCTGTCTAAGCTTGCGGTAAAGACATCACAAAGCTTTACTCAAGTATACAGTAAAATTGAGATATCAGTTTGATCTACTTTTCACTTTCATGAATTGGATACAGTTTTTGAGCGTTTGATTCTATGTTTGTCTACATAATGAAAAAGTGGAGAGACTCGCATGAATACTGTTTTTGTGTGTGAGTTCTGCCTGTGGGTAATTTTGTCTTTGGTCCGAATGAGCCAATAATTTTTCTACTGGTTGTTCTCAACTGACTTTTGACCTTCCTGATTTCATTTTTGACCTTGTGCATTTGGTATCTTTTCATCACCACTTTGCTTTCATCTTTGTAACCTTTTGTCCGCCAATCTTCATCTATTCTCTAGATTTGAAGGTATAAGGACATCTGAATTGCCCATTCCAAAACTGTGTTCCCTAGTCCGCAAAAAACTAAGTCCTTCTAGGCTTACACAATCAAATCTATATCTCCTCCCACCTTATCATTTCATATATCCTCTTCTCTTTTGACCATTCAAATCTAGATCCCTACCAGCTGTAAAATGTATGCGCAATATGGCCACTAAGATTTCCAGAGAGAAATAAAGAAGACAATTTAACAAGTTGTTTGGCTCGTACAAAGTAGCTCTCCCCTAGTGACCCGCCACGTAGCTAAAACTTGGCTCCCCAACGCAATAGCTGGCATTGGCGAGGTACACTGAAGAATGGGTCAATTTCAGCACCTTACACTTCACCTCAAAGTGATATTTCATGAAGCCCATGATTGATGTGCTCATATGGTGCACGACCCACATAACTCTCCCAGGAGCTAGAAGCACAGCTCAGGAGCACTTCATGATAATCAATATTACTATGAGACCCCTGACGAGTAACACTGTCAGCGAAACTCATGAGTTGCACAGCCATGGTGGTATGAAATTCAAAAGAAAAGGCACTTTCATAAGCTCAAACTATACCCTTGGACAGTTTTCATTCTCAAACAGGAAACATGGCTTCACATTGCTAGCAATCTAGTTTTTCCTTTCTTCATGCAAGTGGGTATATCTCTCTCTATTTCAACATCCTTTTTGAAAGTAATTCAACGCCATTTTTGAAATACAAGTATAAGTATAGACTAATTCAATGCTTTTTTGTGCATCTAGTTGAAGTAGGCACAGTAAGGCGATGAAGTAGAAAAAAAATAATGATGATGCAAATCTAATTGGGAGAGAAATATATAATTCATGCAGAATGATTCGTCAAATAAATAGGTAAAAACTATAAAATCTATATAGGAATCTCCTTTCTATAAACAATCTTATTGATAAAAGTTTTCAAAAACAAACCTAAGTCCATCCCTCCGATTGTAATTGATTAAATACTGATGAATTCATCTTATAAGAATGTTGACCATTAGGATTAGGAAATCGTTTAGAACGAGTTTGATTTATATATTCATGTATGATTTGAAGTTCTAAATCCCATCTAGGATTCAAATTAGAAACATGATAACCATTTGAAGGATGATCCATGATAAATCGAGGTTTGATTGAATCTAATGAACCTAATAAATCTGATGTGACTAAAACTTGTCCATCAACTGATGGTCCTGCTCCAATTCCTATAGTAAAAATCGATAACTTTTTTTGAATCTCGATGGAAAGTTTTTCAGGTATGGCTTCTAATACAATTCCAACTACACCTGATGATTCTAATTCAATAGCCGTCTTAATGATATTTCTTGCTGATTCGATTTCTTTTGATCCTTGAACTTTCATTCCTCCTTGACCTGCAATTCGTTGAGGTTGTAAACCAAGATGACCAATCACTGGAATTCCATATTGTTTTAAAATTTTGATTAATGGAATTTGTTCAAGTCCTCCTTCGATTTTCACTGCATCAATTCTTGCCTCTGAAACCAATCTTAAAGCCGTTCTTAATCCTCTATCTGGGTTTTGACCTTCAAAAGTTCCGAATGGTAAATCTGCTACCAAGAGTGGCATTCTATAATGGTATGGATTCTCGTTAGTTTGAATCGGTGGTGGTTGTAGTACACTATCTAGACCACGTCTGACGGCTTTCAGATGATAAGTGAATTCTTCTAAACTTAGTTCGTTAGTTGAAGTATAACCAAGTGAGACCATCGCTAATGAATCTCCACATAAACAAAAATCTACACCGTTTGGTAGCGATCGTTTCGAGGTTTGATTTTGGTTTGATTTCTGAGACGAAGTATATGATGACATGGCTAGTAAACGAGCTGATTGAAAATCATGAGCTGTTAACATGGTGATTGGGGTTTTCGATTTATATAAATCTGAAATAGTTTCGAAAGTCACATTTGATGATCTCGTCATAGTTGCTGATCGACCCGAGTCTTTGTTTTGGGTAAAGCAAATTATTAAATGCCGTTAGAAAAAAATAGCCACTGATTAGTTCTTTTGCGATTTGTTCTGATTAAGAATTTGAAAATGAAATGAACTGAACTTGGATGTGGTAGTCTTTGATTTTGATCTGATTCCTGTAAGTCAGACTGAGAGTTAAATGCTTGAGAACTATATCGAGATTGGAACTTGATGTTAGATAGGACATCATGTTGATGTCGATATGATAAGCGTTGGTGATGACAGGGATGATGGTTGAATGTTAACCTCATGTTGTTGATTTTGCAAGAAATAATAAGATCTCAACTGATCGAAGCAAGACGTCTCAAGGAAGTTTTCGGATTTGAAGTTTCTTGTGTTTCCGTTTTGAGTACCTTGAGTTTCATCCTTTAGTTCATTATCATAAACACCTGTTTCATTAAGATTGATTAGGATTGATTGTAATCTTGGTCCTTATATTAAAAAAACACCTTGCTTCGATCTGATATCGTTTTTTACTTTAACCCAATCTCAGCATCTCGTAAATCCTTCAATAGGTCGAACTTTTCCTTGAAATTGGGTAGAGGAAAGATAGAACCCCTCCAGAATAACTGTCTTTCTTCTCTGTGTGACTAACTTTCTTTTGATCTCAACATCAGCGAACCAGATTTGCCAAAAAAAAACTAAACAAACCTAAACGGCGGCTGAGCTGCGACCTTCGAACGCGCGTGGTTTCCATGATCGGTTGCCCCGGTAAGGCCGGCACCCGGCCCGGCCCGGCCGGGCTATTCCCCGCCCGGAGGCTGCCCGCGGGAAGATCGAGCGGGCTCCGGGCTGCCCGGTTTTTTTTTGTTTTTAAAAATAGAGGGCTGAAGAGCGCTCCATAGTTTAAAATTTCAACTTAGATCTACATCTTCTCACACTTATCGTGCATAAATTCTGATACAAACCCTTCCTTTTTCATCATCAAGGTTATTCTGGATTTCCGATGAGCTCTACAAGGAAGCGGGGCATCAACAGCAGCCCTAACTCCGACAATCGCTCTCAACATATTAATAAACAAGCCTGTCTATCGTATTCAAAAGAAAGCACCCAAATCGTGACCATTGGATCTGACGACGAGAATTCCGATGAATCCCTTGTTAATGCGAAGCAGCATGCGTGCGCTGCCGTCGTCGCGGACTGATTTAAACTTACT